ACTACAACTGTATTAATTCTTAAGTTATGATCACTTCAATCATTTCAGTGAAATCGTGCGTCAATTCTGTGAGACTTAAAAAATGAATTTTCATGTTTTTACGTATTAAACGTAATGAAAATGTTTTCTGTTGTGATAATGGTATTTAATTATATTTTGCAGAAAATAAATGTTTGAAACCCAAAAAATCCTCACTTTAATTTTTGTCATTTAAAAAGGCTATTTCGTATAATGACCCAAGAGTATTTTTGATCTGAGATTTAAATTAAGTCAATGGAAGCTTAATCAGATCTAGGGGAACTTTATTAAACAATGCAATACTACAACCCAGAAATGAACCTCTTGATTTTTGGAGTCTGAAACATGGAACGGCAAGCTTGTTCTTAAATCTCGTGTTAAAGTTATGGGTTTGACTTTTTTTGCAAATTCATCATAGTTTTTTCTTACATATATTAAACTTTCATAAATGTATTGCGACGCCAGTGTTAAAATATTAATTTCTTAAAATTTTTCTCTAAGATCCCTTTAAATTGTATATGGCGCGAACAGCTCTCTTTTGCAGTATGAAAATACTTTCGATATTAGCGGCTGAGCCACACAATAAAAGGCCATATGACATAACACTATGAAAGTAACCAAAGTAAACTAATCTTGCCGTTTCCACATCGGGTCATCAGTCTTATTTTTTTAACAGCGAAAGCTGCAGAGCTCATTCTACTTGACAAGGCATTAATATGAGGATCCCATTGCAGACGAGAGTCTAAAGTAATACCCAGAAACTTTGTAGAATCCACTCACTCTACAGGCTGGTCATTTATTTTTATACTAGTATTAACCTGCCTCACATTAGGTAGAGTAAACTTAACGCATTTTGTTTTACTGGAGGTAAGTTTTATATTATTTACCGTAAACCAGTGAAGGACTTCAGAGAGAGCACGATTTACTTCGTCATAACAATCATTTCCTCTTATAGCTTTAAACAATAAAGAGGTGTCATCAGCAAATAGTACTGTCTCACACAAATCTCTTGTAAAGTGAGGAAGGTCATTGATATAAATAAGGAAAAGCAATGGGCCCAACATTGAACCCTGGGGCACGCCCATAGAAATGGGTGCTCCTGTAGACTCAGCTTCATTTATAACTACTTTCTGAATCCTAGCAGAAAGATAAGACTGTATCAGACTTAGTGAAATATTTGATACACCATAATGCTTCATTTTATTTAACAATGTTTCATGGCTAACGCAGTCAAACGAATTTGATAAGTCGCAAAAAATGCCAATAGCATCGTGCTTACTCTCCCATATATCGAAGATATATGTATGTTGACCATATATACCAGAATCAATTGAATAGCGTAGGTAATATGGTTCCATTCCGGTATATTATCTTGTAGCTTTAAATAGCCTTAAACTTTAGTAAGTGTAACTTGACAGTTGACATAATAGGTCAATGCACAGTAAATGCAATAAAACGCAGTACATTTGTTTTTATATGGGAAAACGAAACAAACTTGTCTATGCTTTTCCAGTTAAAATATATTTAGATGTAGGTAGGTGCTTATGTTTATACTTGAAGAAAACTAAGCAACTTCTGGGTAGGTACCGGCACCTCACGGAACATTAGCTTTGCTACTATTGTCGTTGCTAAGCACAGAAGAGCGCATTAGTAAGAATTCCTGACTTACATTAGCTGTAACAAGATAATTATTGCTCTTTTCTGTATTTAAAATAGTTGTAACGAAGATTTAATTTCGAAGATTGAATTAATAAAAATCTACATCGGCATCGGCAGTCTCCTTGGAGAGTATTATTGACTGATTGGGCAACCATAGCGAGTATAAGGCCGAAACTAATGCCGGTTATAAGTAGCCTCACGAATCAATTTGCAGATTTTTCTAAATGTAAGTAGGTACGCCTTGTAACAAAAAGTCAAATATAGATATAGTAGATAGGTGATTTTGGACACATTAGCTAAGGCCGCTTTATATCATCTATAGTTAAATTTTAAAATAGTTAAAATACTAGAGAAAGAGTAATAATTTTTTTAATTTGACATTTTCACTATGTATTTGTCGTGAATATAGTCACTGTAGAGACTTTAGTCAAAAACTATAGATGAAACAACGGGACTTAAGAGTGCGGTACGATTCGCCAGACTTTTTTCAAAATAAAATAGATAAGTATTCATATTTTATTAAGCTGTCCACGTAATAACTAGATATTTAAAAAATATAAATTATATGCCTCCGCGCATGATTACTGCAATCTTAGGGACTTGTTGTACTGAACCCATGTAAACATCACAATATTGTGAGGGTACTGGTTGGAGTATGGTGTAAGAAAACTGGACTGACATTAACTTCAAATCATTTCAATATTTACATAAAACGACTAAGTCGCGTGAGCTTTGTGGCACTGTAGTTCGTAGAACGAGTTTTACAATTACGAAAACTAGGATAGTTTTCGTGAGCCCGCACAAACTGTCGGTTTACGTCATCAATGGTAGTACAAATTATTTTTTTCGAACATCGTTTAACGATACCTATCGTCTATCGTTAACGCTATAGTACGAACTTCATGGTGCATATTTTCATCTCTCTTGCACGCTTAGAGAAAAAAAAGAACAGACTTCTGTCTAATATGGATGTATAACTATTAACGAAATTAACTTATACTGCCGATTAAACTTCATTATAGTTTCCGCTAGAGGTGCTGGTGTGAAATGTATGGAAACAAAACGAGACGATTATAGTTTTCGAAAACTATGAAAACTCGTACTGGTGTACTGGGTACTGGTGTCGATGGCTCGGTTGATATGATATATACACTTATCAACAACATCAGCTACGCAGATAACATTGTCCTGACTGCTAATCCTGTCGGTTAGTACCTTCAGAAAGCTTATTTTCAGTTATGCGAAAGCTTATGGGCACGACTACAATGTAATCAAGAGTGAGCTTATTGTGTTTAAGGCAGGAGCAGGATAGAACATTTATGACATTATTACTATTACAAGAAATAGTAATAACATAACATAACCATGCAGTATAAGTACTGCATGGTGATGTTAAAACGTATCATTAAGTTCAAAATTAATTAATTAAGGGCGTTAGAGTTTAGAAGATATATTACAAATTTCGTAATACCTATGCTATGTATTAATAACACTACATGTAATATTTACCTACTACCATAGATTACTACTCACTAGAGTTTAAAGATATACAGTGAAATATGTACTTTAATTATTAAATCGAAGAATACAAATTTCCAAGTTGTGCGGTTTCACATCTGCAAGTCAACAAACTTCAGCTCAATTATCACATAAATTCAAGGTGATGTCCGGGTGATGATTATTAAGATGCCGTTTTGAAAAGCTCTTTTACTCGTATTAGAGGCTGCTAGGTACAAATGCATAATAGTGAAAAACGTCATAGTAACCCAATGCAAAATGACTTGTACCGAGCATACTAATATTTATTCAAAATTTTCTGGTTTGAATCCCAGGCGTATAAAATAAAATAAATTATAAATATATATACTGTGTGAACATAGATAAATGATTGGTTGGACCAATCATTCATCTATGTGTGTGAAGTTATTGCTTGTCCATTTCAATTTCCCTTTTCCGCTTTTCGGTACATCGCTGATTTCGTACTCTCTACCAGAATTGATTAAGTCTGAAAGATTGTTTAAGATTATTTACTGACCCCATCTTAATAAATAATAATCAATAAACATTCAATAGAATCTGTATGGGCAACGCGCGTATTCGCGCGTGAAAATTTTAAAGAATAGCACTGCTGAAATATTTTTTCAACTTGACGACTTTGTAAATAAAACAGGGAGAAAAAACAGCCCGCGCTGAGTTTTTTGCCAGTTCTTCTCAGTACAAGGTCTCCCGCCGTAGATATACGAACCGATGGCGTAGCTTCCAGACATTCATGAGTGCTTGTAACAGTCTAATGAATAAATGATTATGATTACGTTTATATGTAGGCTAATCCTTTGATACTTTACCAACCTGAATGAAATCCAAGAAGGTGATGATCGGAATGGTGACAAGTTGTTAAGTAACAAGTGAGGGCAGAAAAAAATTTAAACCCTCACTTCGACTAAAACTATACAAGTACATGTATGATTGTAAGTGGTTCTTATCTTCTTTCTTCAAAGACACTTATTAATGGTCGATCCCTGTAGATGGTTACTGTTTACACCATGTTGCGTTATACAATACAATGTTATCACTACGACCATCTGCTGTAACGCAAGCTCTGTGTGTTTGATAGATCGACGAGTATCTTTGATTTGAATGTAACAACCGCCTTGCTCAAACGCTCGTAAATAAATTTTCGTTTTTTGGGATTTCATTATTTACTCCATTTTGGGATATTAACTTGCTTTGTAAAATCTCAGTAACCGATAGCTGCATAGGTAAATTACAGGAAGTATTAGCACAAAAAAAGATCAATTTGTACGAGTGTACGCGCAACGTAAGTTGATATTTCTGTTTACTTTAATGTTAGTAAATAATAAGCCTTGACGCAGTTTTTTGTGTAACTTTTTTGTTCGGTTATAAAGAAATCTAAATAACTACTTATCTGTAGACTACAAAAGGATCAAAAATAAAATCTATGTAATAAAATAAAATCTATCTACTATACGAAAAAGCAATTAAATATTTTGCTTAGCAACAGAAAAGAGCAATCTTCCCGATTTCGGTGGTCGCTTCGAATCTTGTCTGTTTTCTAGAAACAATACATTTCTCCGAGTATTTTTCTGTCTTTGTTTTGTTAGATATTATATTAGGAACCTACTCAAGACATTTAAGTGAATGTAAATATCAATAAAAATAATATGATACTTGACTCAGGGTAGACTAATTAACGTGTAACATAGTAAATTGTAATGAAATACAGATAAAGGCGAAAATTGGAGCATTCGACTTACGCTATAGAACGTTCGAGTGAATGCTACAGCTTATAAATACGAGTCACAATGGCGGCTGTGCTATTTACACCGGGCTATTGTCGAGCGCCTTGCGGCATCATCACCATGATTAGGGTAGGTGTATGTTTTTAAAGTTTTTAAAATATTTGCTTCTCTTTGGTTAACTTTTTTTTAGCACGGATTACCTAACCTAATAGTTTGTTATTTATGTTTCTAGTTTATAAGTTTTAATACCTAAAGTGACAATTAGTCGTGCATGTAGCCTACCGGTCAGGTTTTGATCAATATAATTGTTATAAGCAGTGAAGTGATTTCCGGATCATTTTATTAGTAGTGTTTTTTAAATTTATGACTATTTACTGCATCAACATACAGAGCAGGTTTACGTTATTAACGAAGTTCTTGTGACCTACATTCTCGCAAATTACAAGTCCGGGCCTTAAGACCTTGTTCTTTGTTTAATGTCTCAAAAGCAAGTTCTCACCATATTTTAACGTGTTTATGTAAGAAAAGGGCATCTTAATTGGACTTGATGTTAATGTTTCGTCTTTTTCTCTTACAGTTGGTGTTCACAGTGTTCGCTATGCCAGCAGTGATCGGCATTATAGTTACCGATCCTCCACCGCTTGCTATTCAGTACAAGTACTCGTACGATATCCAGGATCCGACTACAGGAGACACGAAGAGTCAACATGAGGTTAGACAAGGCAACATAGTCACTGGGCAATACTCCGTTGTTGAACCAGATGGAACTAAGCGTATTGTTGACTACAATGTGCACCCAAGAAAGGGATTCACGGCAGTCGTGCACACGGAGCCAGCTGTTACTCAGCGTACTCCAGCGCCAGTGAACAATTATGTGATACCTACCAATAACCGTCAGGCCTTTGAACGATTTGAATTGGCACCTAATAAGGACTTATATGCTAATGGAAATACAGTACCACTCCTTTACCAGGCTAAAACTTATCGGCCTAATTCTGTACTTTATTTCGCTCCTGCGAATCATATATCTGATGGTAGGTCTCCGGAGTCTCCGCTACATCGAGAGCAATATTTTGTTCCATATAATAGAAATTGATAGTAATTTTCATAAGTTTTTATCTAATATTTGAGCGAAGTAATGTGATATTAATTGTTAAGGTGTAATTTTTAATAACAAAATAACAGTTTTACGCGCTCTGATGTTGATTAAAAAGGGCGTCTGACCAATTTCGATATGAGGAGCTCGATGGCGATGGTGATTAGCGCGTTCGGCTGTGATCGTTGAAGTTAATCAACTTTCGTAGTGGTCGGTCATTGGATGGGTGACCAAAAATCGTCTATCTCGGTTTCCTCCGTGCTTCGGAAGGCACGTTAAGTCGTTGGTCCCGGCTGCATTTGCAGTCGTTAGCACCCGCCAATTTTTTCACAAATTGACATGTTTTTTTTTGTGGACCGATTTACTAAATACCTACAGTATTATTTAAGTTACTCAATTTAAGTATAAGTATGTTTTTTCAATTTGTTTATCTGTCCTCAAAATATTCTTCGAAATATTGGGTTCAATTTTATTTTGTCCAAATTATTAATCAAATTATATTATATTTTTTATGAATTTAAAAGTAGTTTATCGATCACTGTATTAAAATTAATTAAACCCATTAAAGTATCAGATGGTGCGAATGAACAATGGCCGACTCAATCATGGCGCGGCGTGAGGAGTTGACAGACAGACAGTGTTCCGACGTGTCGTCTGTAATTATTATTATAAAAACTGCTAATCTGGAGTGAATAAATAAGTTACTGGATTCCAAACAGTAAAATCTTGCTTCTTAAATAAGATCCAGTCCCTTTTTGTTTTAATCTAAGGATCCAGTCTATATCTTATACGCATATGATGTATTTTTGTTTTTATTTCTTTTTCATGTTAAAAAAATATGGATACTTATGTTCAAAGATAATGACAACAAATTTTACAAATTTGTAATTCATATACCTTTAAGACATGATACCTCCCTCATACTGTGTTGTAGTATTAGTGTGATGTGACAGATAGATATATCCATATAAGTAATTTATATTGTAAATATAATGGATTTTATGGTGTATCCTTTAAATAAAGACTATTTTTAATATTTATAAATAATTCCACTCGGTCCGGGTCCAGAAATTTTTTCTTCCAATTTATACATCAAGATGTTTAGTCCTAGTTTGGTCCACATCTAATATATAATATTCTATCTTTTACCCCTATAAACAATCACTCTTATATTATGAAGGCGAAAGTTTGTGAGGGTGTATGTTTGTTATTTCTTCACGTCTAAACGGCTGGAGTGATTTTAATAAAATTTGGTATGGAATTAGCTGACAGCCTGGATTAACACAGGCTACGTTTTACTGCAGGAAAATATCCCTAATAAACCGCGGGTATCACCGCGGGACACAGCTAGTTAGTAATAAATGCCTAACACATACGGCAGAATAACATGAGGGGGGCAACCTTGCACCTTGTGAAGTACTCCCACGACACTTAGCTCCTATATAAAGGGCATGATTGGAGTACGTTTAGGGCTTCAAAAAAATCGGCCATGACTTTTGGTCTCGTTCAAATCGTCATTCTTTTGAATAGGAGCTACTGGAGACTACGTTTAAACTTATTTAATGCAATATTATTTTTAATAAACTAACTTTTTTTAAAAATTGCCATACAATATGAATGAGTTTTACCCGGCCGCATATTTTACCTTCCGGTGAGCCATAAGCCATAACAGAGGAATAAGAGTTGTTCTCTACCGCCTATCAGACATCCGCTGATTATAAGCCCCGGATGCAAACGAATTGATGCCCGAAATTTTTTTCATAGCAGAACGTCGGATTGTGCTCTCTCTTTACATTTTCTATTAGACCCAAACCAGTGTTGCCATCCCGTACCGATTTTCCGTTATTTTCTACACGTTGGTAGTACATAAATATAGAGAAAAAGTAGCTTGAAATATAAAATCAAGAATAAAATAATTGTGTGAGCCTGATGGAACACCCGGTTGGAACCTAAAAACATTTGTATACCACCAATTAGCATTGGGCCCGCGCGTGGCGAGTCATGGATGGTCCAATCTCTCTTTCATTTCAACAATATTTTAAGTAAACTAGCTGTCCCAGCGAACTTCGTACCGCCATAATAAAATAGGGGTTGGTGGTAGAAGGGTGAAAATTTAGGGTTGTATGTATTTTTGTATGATTTTTTGTTTTATTATGGTTCATTCATAAAAAAATTAAAAATAAAATTTTGACAAAAAAACATTAAAATTGGAGCTTAACATTTAGGGAGATGAAAAATAGATGTCCGATTCTCAGACCTACTGAATATGCATATAAAATTTCACGAAAATCGGTCGAGCCGTTTCGGAGTAGTTCAATTACGCACACCGTGACACGAGAATTTTATATATTAGATTACAAAAGCTGTCAAGTGTTTTATAAAAATAGCTTGTACCTTGATAAACATGAGAACAATATGGTTTAAGATAAAAACGATAACGTGCAGTTCCGGTATTTAAACGGTTCGTAAGACGAACGGTTCAAGGTCGCGCGGGAAGTGGGCCGGGGCGGCGCGGCTGGCACACCGGCGAATGGCGACTGACCTCCTCGGGCTGACGTCTGCGCTTCGTTCACTTACCTCCAGCGTCGGATGTAGTTAAAAAAGAAAACAATTATAACCTTACATTATAGTCCATATTAATTTAAATTGTTTTCATATTCTTTACTACATAATACGTAAGAATCCCTTCGGACTGTCGCCCATCCTAAGGGAGACATTAGAATTTCTATAGTACCTACAGATGTCTCCTCTAGCGTCGCCCCCCCGTAGAGATCAAATGTAGCTAGCCGTAAAGCGACCAAAGTGCGAGCAATTGATTGCCTTAGCTATTATATTGCTATATTGCCCCATTGCCCCCCCCCCCCTCCCCTTAGTCATAAGCTGGCGACGCCCTTGCGAAAGGATAAGACTCAGTCCCGTGTCAGTCCTGTGCCACCAGATACTTGACAATTGGGTCACAGCACAAGTTGATGAGTAATACGTTCATTGTACACTCTAATACTACTCGATTAACCAAATTTTGTCCATCACAAAATAAGTAAGGCGGCCTGGGATCTTACTCTATTATGCTTTTCAATACTCCAGCCAATTTGCTGGAACTGCCTGCCATGAAAGATTAAATATGTTAACAGTTTAGAAAGTGTCAAGCGTCCGCAATCAAGACGGCAATTAACTTTAAGTTTGATGAAAATTGTCACTGTCACTTTTATTGTGATAAAAAATAATATAACTGCAAGTGACTTAATAAGCTTCCGGTTTTTTTTTGACGACACTGTGGCGGCGGTAAGAGACATGTACACAAAAGGAATAGCCATTTTCACAGAAAAATACCCACCGATCTCACCTATACTTTTGGAGCTAGGCTAATTGGTGTCATTACACAAACATCCCCCCCCCCCCCTCCCCCCCTACACGGAGTTCGAACCCGGGACCTCTCGAACAGTCGACATCTTGAAACCCGGCGTCCAAACCACTCGGCCACGGCGGTCAACGGATAAGAAGAGTGATATTATTACTTTGGATATTTTTTTCAATTTATACTTAGATTAAAATTATACGCCAGATCGACTATAAAAGAAAATATTTTATATTGTTCCAAGTGCAGATATGTCTTTCGTTTTTATTAGCTGAATATTTTATCCGGTCCTTAAAACTTTAATTTGTAAAGAATAAAACAATCCAATACTCGAAACCATTATTGTATTAATCACTAACATTGTTACATTTTGGAATGACTTGGTAATCGTTACATGCACTCGTCGTTAAAGCGCACGCCGACTACACCGGAAGCGGAGCGAAACTAACTTAAAATCGTAAAATTTTCTCATACTTCGATTCTTACTACGAAAAATCTATTTAATCAGCTATCCCACTCTTATGGTCCGTACTCACATACGGTAGTAGGTACTTGATAGTTATAATTTAGTTAGAGTGAGTAAAAATCAACGAGTGGACCGCAAAAGTCACAACTCGAAGGCTCGTTACGTAGTACGCGACGCATTAATTTATACTTGCTTTAGAGAAAAAATATCAAGTAATACTATACCTATGTGAGTACGGACCATTTAAGTTAATTTCGATTTATCGTGATCGTTATTATCATCCAGCCTTCCTACTCTAAATTATAAAGGTTTTAATTACGGCCACGTACACGACCAGTGGCTATAACGACCAGATTAACAAGTTTGCCGTTGTGGCCAAGTGCACGTATGGTTTCTATAGTTAATCTGGTCATTGCGGCCAATGGCAGCGGTAGTGGCTGTCTAGTACGCGAGGTGTTTTAGTCTGAATATGGCCCCCCATCATCATGTCGTCATGAACAACACTTAGAAACTGTCGTTTCGCTCCCGGTGGTCTGCTTTTAATGCGTTCTACGTCTACGAGTATATTACAACGGCGCAACCGGGCAGAGCTCAAACCAGTAGCCGCAGCCGCAACGCTTGGGCACACCCATGTGCAGCCACATGTACTCGATGTGCATCACGTGGTCGTTGCACTTGCAGCCGAGCAGACGTTGCTGGTTAGCGCTGGGGATGAGATTTGGCCGTTCACGCGTGCCTGGACCTGATCAAAAGATATTTTTATACATACACAATGACCCCTATAATACAGCCTATCATCAGCCTATTAATGTCGTGAACTGCCCATAGACACGCGAGCCCACCTGCCGTAGAAGTGGCACTACTCTTGACTATCACATAATACGACTACTAATGTCATATCATGATAATGACATAACTAACCCCGCTTGATGGCTATAATGCGAAAGGTGTCGCAGGCCCCTGCGAGATGGCCAGCAGCTCCTATTCTCTATGCCGGTCACGTGGTCCAGGGCGTCAAGGAACTGCCCATAGACACGAGTGCCCGCTTGCCGGAACCGTGGCATTATTTCAGATCACCACATTTTACGATAACATTACTACCTATAATGACGTAACTGACCTCGCTTGATGGCCATAATGCGGAAGGGGTCGCAGTCCCCCGCGAGGTGGGCCAGCAGCTCCCTCTTCTCTATGCCGGTCACGTGTTCCAGAGGGTCATGGAACTGCCCATAGACACGGGTGCCCGCCTGCCGCAAACGTGGCACTACTCTCGACCACCACATCCTACGACAGTTTCATGGATGGATGTTTTATCGATATTGACATTATTAATCATCAATAAAAAAAAAGTGGTACACAACCATATGGTTAACCTAATGGTGGCATGGTCACTATACTGTAGATTACAGACTATTAAACGCTTACAACAACAAATTTCACTGGTTGAACTGACCTCATCTCCTATCTATTCTAAAGAGTTATTTTATCTATATATGTAAATCAATATCATTCTAATTTATAAAGAATAATTATTGCAAGTATTGCTTACTTATTTTTCTTACGACTTAACAATCATTAACCAAATAGCTCCCAATTAGCTAACAGAAAACCTTCTGTCATTGAGTGATTTTGTCATGTCACTATGACGATGACAAATTTAATCATTTTTTGAATGAATGTTTTTGTAAAAAGTATGAATTCGTTTTGTAAATTTTCCAGCTTCTTCTGGGCTCTCCAGTTTCAGTTGATTGGATTGATTGGGCCCACTACAAATATTTTTTGGACCTTTTTATTATATATTTTTTTTGTTATTTTTGCATAGCGATTTTGACTAGAAATATATAGATCGATGATGTTTTAATTTTTAGCACTGGTCACCACTTATACACATTGCACATCCTTTTTCCTATTATAACTAACTTATCATCTATTGCAATTCTGATTTAGGTTTGTTATCGTACATCAAATAAGCATATCGAACAACAAGGACGGACCTCCCAAAGAAAGCAGCCTTGCATTACGTGCAAGTGATCTTTACGACTGAGATCAATCTTACCCTAATTGTTCTTATTTTCATATAACACGACCCAATAAAGTGGTATGACGAATTCTTAAGAGCTTAGTACGTGATGCAACATTCAAAAACAACCGGTTTATAGATCGCACTCGCACTGGTACAGCGATAATGCAATGCCTCAGGCTGCACTGAGGCATATAAAAAGTCCGGCTAACACAACAAAGGCACATTCAACTTGAGGTCTCCTCGTAGTGAAGAGTCACTGTCATTCTTACTAAAATGGCTTTTAAGGTAGGGCTTTCCATACTTATAAATAATCTTTATTTAAATAAATAGAAAAATGAAGACTTTTACTTTCTTCAAACTGATATTTAAGTTGTCCAATATTATAATTAGAAATTAGATTAATTAATTTATGAAAAAGTAAGATATATAGTGTGTGTAGTGATCACTTACTAAAGTGCACCGTCTTTGAAATGAGTAGGCCAGGAATCCTTTAAAACAGTTTTTACTTGATATAATAAGGTATCTCTTTCCAGCTGGTAGTATTGGCGTGCGCGATCGCTGTCGCCCAAGCGGGCGTCATCGCTCCCGCCGCTTACGCCGCACACCCGGCGCCGGTCGCATATGCAGCTGCCCCTGTACTGCACGCTGCTCCGGCCGCGCCCCTAGTGCACGCAGCCCCTGTCGCCTACGCCGCTCCGCTTGCCAAAGTAGCAGCCGTCGCCCCCGTTACCAAAGCCATCGCCGTCGATGAATACGACCCACACCCACAATACAGCTTCGCCTATGACGTGCAAGATGGTCTCACTGGCGACTCCAAGACCCAGCATGAAACTCGCGATGGTGATGTCGTACAGGGCTCCTATTCTGTCGTAGACCCCGATGGCACTAAGCGCACCGTTGAGTACACCGCTGACCCCCACAATGGATTCAACGCTGTCGTGCACAAAGAGCCGGTGGCTGTGAAAGTAGCCGCGAAGGTGGTCGCTCCCGTGACTTACGCTGCTCCCGTCGCCAAGGTCGCTGTTCCCGTCGCCTACGCCGCCGCCCCTGTCGCCAAGCTCGCCGCCCCCGTCGCCTACGCCGCTCCTGCAGCTAAACTTGCTGCGCCCTTGGCCTACTCCGCTCCTTTTATCCACCACTGATCGCCATGCTACTAGTCATTCAAATCCTATTTATTTAAATAAATGTTTTTTATACATTTATATTACAACATTTTAATGATTTGAATCAAATGTATTTTTTCCAATCTCCTATTGACGCGAAATAAGACTCAATAACATTCTTAAAGAACGTTAGTTTAATACTTTATAATATAGTTTATTCATCTAATTGCTGTATTTAAAAAAACATGATGAAAAAATTATCTCTGCGCCGTTACCAGGTTGAAATCGAACCAGCGTCCTAATCCGAGCGAATACACCAACAATAATTATTTTATCGAGACTACCAGGTGTGTTGAATTTCTAATTATAAATCTATGTAATTGCATGTGGTCAACATGTGGTACATAATAAAAGCTTAATCTGTAAGGGAGCTTTGATGTTAACTAGGTACAACTAAAATTTTCAGAGTAGGTATTATATTTTAATTTTTGAGCATTTATCTGCTTAAAAGATGCTTCAATCTAAAGAACAATTTCCTTACTAGAGAAAATCCACACGGTCCATCAAAATTTTACAACGTATACTCTAACGTTAAAGTTCTTAAAAGAGACAATTCGAGGATTCTCTCTACAAGATGTGAATGTGCAGAATCATTTACAAAAAATATACCAAAATAATATAACCTATACAGATGGTACCACAGATCACTATATATGTAGCAAGGATGGTACTCGCAGCTGTAGGTACTCTACGCATACCTATATCTATTTTTTACAATATAAGTGAGGTTTTCATTCAGCCAATCATTTAATAAATCACTTTTAAAACTGTTGACGTGACAACGTCTTAAATTAGGTTGCGGCTGGGAGTCACTTATGAAAAAGTGTAACGCTCGGTAACGTTACGATGAGTTTCTCGTGTTAAGTTTAAGTTTACATGTACAATGTTTTAGTAAACAAAATATATTTCTATAGTTAAAATTTGTGCAATTCTTATTTTCATTCAATTCCTTGTTCCTATTGTGCAATTTAATTATATTCATATCAATAAATATTCTACCGAGAAAAAGACGTTGTCACGTAAAATCTTCGCCCGTAAAACCGACTTTACAGGCAACCATTTTTTTTAATAAAGCGTGATTTTTTTAATTTTACATCTTGACGTTTCAGTTAGTTTATTCTTGTAAAATTTAGATGCGGGCGGATCCGCGCGTGAAAATTTTACAAAATAGTCCTCTGAAACTTCAAAATTAAACAAATCCATGCTTTATACGCGTTCTTAACAATTATCTGAATTAATATCAGACTGCGTAAGCCATCTGGGTAAACTTTACTGAAAAAAGAAGGAACTGGCCCATCATCACCCATTAACTGTTTAAAAATAACGATAATTTAACTTTTCATAGTCTTCAACGTAAATACATTCAATGACCGCTTTAATTAAATAAAAAAGTAAATTACTACTACTATAATAGAAAAAAATTGGGGAATTTTTTCTAGTTATTTTTTTTTAGATTTAAACATCTAGCTGGTAATGCCTTAAAGATAAAAACACTAACCACTAAATCACCGTTTTTAAGCGAATATTGGATTCGATTATAGCATGATTCTCTAAACCTAAACTTAAATTTGACAGCAGTATATCCTTGTCATTCTCTATACAGAATGAAAAGGAGAGACTGAAGTTAAATTTAGTTTTAAGTTAAGAGAATCAGGCCAGAATTGGCACCATTCTATGAATAAGTTTATGAAGCTCATTTTAGCCGGTCAGTGGCGGCGCTAGACCACATGTGGATGTCGGCGGCGACATCAAGTTCGCGAGGCCTATTATACTTCTCAGTAATAAACCGTTAAATTAAGTGAGCCAAATTATAAAATAATGTATGAGTAAACTTTTTGAGTTTTATTGTTGATTCATAGTGTTGCCAGACAGACGATTCTGAATACCCGTAAAGTACTACTCGCTTCCATCACGCACGTTTTCGAAATTAATAAAAGTCATTATCATCTGCTTAGCTTTTTCTCCGAATTGTTCGGGGTCGGCTACCTAAGCCAGGCCCGGAGAAACGAAAATAAATAGGTAATGTGTAAAATTTTTTTGCGAGGCCCCCTCAGGCGCGAGGCCGTCGGCGGTGGCCGACGTTGCCGACGCCTAGCGCCGCCACTGTTGCTGGTACTATTTGATACTAACAAAATGGGCTTCTTAAACTATATGTATAACGATACTTAGTACAGGAAGTCAACACTGCAAAATGGTTTTTATTATTCTGCTAAGTCTCCAGGATGATTCTCTAATAGTCTCTTCGATTCAATGAGATCTCTTTACTGAATCATTTATGATTGTTGCATAAGAACTTTAAAAAATATAAATATTCCACACACACACATAAAGAAAGAATTTGATTGACGGAGTCATTAACGTGGAGACGAAATCCATGAAACTAGACTGATGAAATTTGGACAATAGGAACCTTTTATGAACATCATTAGTAATAAGAAAGGATTTTTGAAAATTTTACCCTTAAGTGTGTGAGTATTTACATCGATTTATCTTATATATAAAATTCTTAAAATTCTCGTGTAACAATATTAGCTATACTCCTCCAAAACGGCTTGACCGATTTTTATGAAATTTTATATGCATATTCAGTAGGTCTGAGAATCGGCTATTATCTGTTTTTCATACTCCTAAATTATAAGGGTTGTCCATACCTTAAACTTGTTTTCTTATTTTTCAGTCATTTTTTTAATGTTGCATTAAAAATACATACAACCCTAAATTTTCACCCTTCTATCACCAACCCCTATTTTTATGGCGGTACGAAGTTCGCTGAGTCAGCTAGTAATTTATAAAAATCAAATCCCTCGTCACAAAAAAATAAAAAATCCGTTGGGGATGTGTACCATATCCTACATAGCTTTTAAAGTTGCCTACAATTTACAATCCTATCAAAATGGAAAGTCATCAAACTTACCCGTACGGGTCGGCCACCCGCCACCCCGTGTATATATATATTTGGACTGGCCACCCTCAATTTTGAGTTCTATAGCTGAGGCTTATGAAACGTACTGATAAATTGACAGATAAAACCACAGATTCAGTTACCCAAAATTGTGTTATATTTAGCTAAATGGCTTTCAGTTTGTAAAACTTAAATATTAAATAAATAAATTAATCATAGCCTTGATTAAATAAAAGATACATTTAAATAACAGTTACTCAAAATTTACTTAAAATCTAATCTTTCAGCTTTATAATGCTTGATATAATATTTACGTACATATGTAATTTTATGTGTATTTATTAGTACATACACTAATGTACGTTATTCTTTAAACACTAATCATTTGGAAATTAATTAATGTTACGAAAGTTTTGATCCTATTCTCAAACTTAATAACTTCCACAGGTTCAATTTATTGATAAAATTACTCTCAAACCTTTGATTATCCTAGATAGAGCATGGCAGCGCAGATGACGTTGAAAAAAATATGAGCCAACAGCTTGACTCCTCTCTTGACTCTCCCATTCCCATCACTTATGGTCAATGTTACGCTGAGCGATACGCACGACAATTACAGTGTTTCGTGTTGAAATTATTGCATTGAAATGCCGAGATGCGCGATAAAAGTTTGCCGAAATTCTAAAGGACTCATAAAAACTATCAACAAAGTCACTTACCATAGCTAAGTAACGCATTATTCACCTTAAAAAAATAAAACTATATTATCATATTAGTTATTACGACTCCATCTTGACATTTTCAAAGTGATGTCAGTGTCTCGTTAAAAAATTCCCCCGAAAAGTGAGTATGGCGTAATTAATTTTTTTACCGATTGCAGCAGTGCGATGGAAAATGATTTTTTATATCGATATAAACGAAAACTGCATGGATAAAATATCAAGAAATTTTGAAACTTACGAATCTGCTTTTTTAGTAAAAGTCTATAATAAATAATTTTACACCAAATACAAAAACAATCTAGAGTCAGTACAGCGCAAATTTCTCAAGCGCGTAAGTTATAAATGTTGTCGATGTAAATTATCTTATGATAATCTATTACAAAAATTTTCAATACCACGTCTGGAGCAGCGGAGAACTCTTTTTGACATCTCTTGCTTACATAATATCTTACACAATAAATATGATTGTAATGATTTAACCTGCGATGTCAAGATCAGAATACCCAGTGGTTCTCAGCGCATCCGCGAAATGTACCCGTACAAACCGTTTTGTCCCAATAATGTCAATACTAACGCGGGTCTCCGTGCCCCACTGAATAGGATCATGAACACTTTTAATGAACACATGAGTTCCCACGAAATTGATATTTTCTCAGCCCCGACGACCTCCTTCAAGACTAACATTTATGAACTAATTGTCACACCAAGTTCTTGAACTCCTCAGGTATTTGATATTTATCCTTTTTTTTTGTAGTTTTCATTTTTGTGATTCTTTGCCAGTAACTACTCACATCTCACAAAGATATTAGTGTATAGCATAGCACATTACTCTTTAATAGTAATCTGTGGATAACGTTGCTGGTTGTATAATTAGTAATAAAAATTCTGTAAATCTTTATGTAACACAAATTGTAGAACTGTTTGTTATTCCTTACAAAATAAAATAAAATAAAATAAAAAAAATAAAATAAAATAACTGCACAATGGGGTACTTAACACCAGGGAAAAGTCACCCCAAAAGTCTGATTGTTTGAATCTGCATTTTATGTCTATACACCCAAAGTAAACTTACTAAATTAATATAAAATATTTTGGCATAGTAGGTTTTATGAAATTCAAATTCGTAAGTTTACTATGGAAGTGACGATATAACTAAGACTGTCTACTTTTACATGAAACGGGATAAGTGAGAGATATAGAACAGAGATCTTTAATCCTTCCTAACAGGACGATCATAACTTTTTTAAATAAAATTAAAAGTACACAACCTATAGTGTTGATATCGTCACTGTTTTGTAAAAATTGTGGAGTTCAAAAACTCACCTGTTTCAGCTATCAATATCAACACGACAAATACATACTAACATGACAAAAATGATATTTTTTTCACCTATCTATCATTTCATTTCTTTATTTTAAAGAACTGTTCAAAGCAGTTCATAATTCATACCAAATATTAAACCGATTGGACAAGGTAAATTTTCAGTAATGTAATTTTTAATAGTACTCGGTTTTGTTTATATTCTACGGCGATGATCGTACCACAATTGTATTTAATTGTTAGAACGTTACGCCTTTATTGTCAGAATTATTCTTTTCAAAAACAAAGATATTTTTTGGTACCGGTTTCGAAAAGACAAAAATATTTCTTATTTAGTCAAGGGGACAAGGGACATTGACTGGTCTGCCCTGCCAAGCTAACACACTGTAATTTTTGAAAACTACTTTGGATAATTGACAAAATGTATTTTTTAATGTGTAACATCTTTCCCCTCGCTTTCCTGCAATTTGTGGGAGTGATTTCGTGAAACGGGATGGAAGTGTGTAACAGATGACACTTTTGCGTAGAGATGTCAATAATTTATGATGATTAATTTAAGTGAAATATAGAATGTTTCAATTTACTTAGTGCTACAAATAGAAAAAGACAACACACCACTTCACTCAACGAGTATTAAATTAATTTGACGTCTCAGAGTGCATTCGTAATGAGGTGTTGTATTTTTTATTAGATCATTTACATAAATACTCTTAGATTAGGCAATTTAATTGATGAGTTAATAAGTTAAAAGGTATCATTAATTAAAATTGCAACTTTTTTATAATTAGCATGATCTTATATTCTGCAAATAGTCCTCCAAAATAATTACTCTAGTTTTCACTTTAAGCAAATGATACATAAGTTATATTATCTTGTGTGGCAGTCCTTGTATCTGATACGGCTGATACAATTGATCGGAACATGTCATCAGGCGGCTCCCCGCTCTCTGGGGACGCTTAGTATCTATCGCCTGAGGCGCTACTTGTTCAATATATAACCTCTTGAATGAATTTTAATAATATTATACACATTGTATTATTCGATTCAATAACATCTCGCAAACATGGCGTCGAGGGTAAGCTAACTCTTACCCATTTTTTTGAATAAATATTTATACCATTGAGAAATTAAATGTTACGATAGCAGGGTGTTGTTGGTGGTTTTTAACCTTCTAATTGTTTTACAGTTTGTGGTTCTCGCTTGTTTTGTGGCTGCCGCCAGCGCCGGAGTGGTCCCCGCTGCGCCACTGGGCTACGCGGCAGCACCTGTCGCCTACTCCAGCCCTGTGGCTTATTCTAGCCCTGTGGCATATGCCGCTCCAGTCGCGAAGATCGCCAAAGTTGCTGTTGAGGAGTATAATCCACACCCACAGTACAGCTTCGCATATGATGTGCAGGACGGTCTAACGGGCGACTCCAAGAGCCAGCACGAATCTCGCGATGGTGACGTTGTCCAGGGCTCGTACTCCGTGGTCGATCCTGATGGCACAAAGCGCACTGTGGACTACACCGCTGACCCTCACAACGGATTCAACGCTGTCGTGCGCAAGGAAGCCCTAGGTGTCAAGGTCGCCGCTCCCGTGGCGTACGCCGCGCCCGTCGCTAAAATCGCAGCTCCCGTCGCCTACGCCGCCCCTGTAGCCAAGATCGCCGCTCCCGTCACCTATGCCGCCCCCGTCGCCAAGGTTGCCTACTCTTCTCCTATCACGTATGCCGCCTCCCCTGTAGCCAGAATAGCCGCCCCTATCGCCTACTCTCAACCCATCTACCACCACTAAGACCAGACTGACTTATTTTGTTAACATGAACCATGTTACGGCCTAGTAAGCAATGTTATTTATGTTTATTATTTTTAAGGATTTGCAAATAAACTGTATGAAATCGTATTTTCTATTTTTGCATATTTTTTTTTTGAAATTGTAAATCAGAAAAAATTCTAATACAAAATAATCGATTACAAAATTATTCAACTCCAACGGAAATCGAAATTAATTTAAAGTAAAAAAAACGCATGATTCTCATGAAACATTCGGTTGAAACGAATTTACAAATATTTTTATACCACCCATCAATCCGCACTGGGTCCGACCAGACCGAATCACTCACTGCTCCCAGTCCACCACTCGTGACTCAGTCTTACACTCTCCACTCCTGGGTGTAAATGCGTATGGGATTTTATTATAATTATTTTTAATAGGCTGTCTATAAAAAAAAACATCTCAGACACACGCATGATACCTACGCACATTATTATGAAAATACCAACAGATAACAGCAGTGATAATAAACAAAAAAACAAAAACATATCAGACTTAGGCATCCCTTCCACAATAGCGAAGGGATTCTGACTATATATAAGATCACGCATCTGCAAACATCACAGGTCGCACGTGGGGCTGGGGGCCAAGACAGAGTTGAAAGCCGATAGAATGCGTGGTATAGGGGAGTTAGCACTAGCAGAAGTGTGATATAATGGAACTGCAAATAACTTGTGTTTCCTACTGTAGCTTTAATGACCGTTTCCCTTGTAGTCAGTGTATGAAGAGTCGACACAATTCACCCTGTAGGTCTGGAGCATCTACCCGGAGAATCCTGCACATAATGAAAAATTGGTGTTTTTCTTAGGAATTATGCCCTAGAACACACGGTACACATAAAAAAAATTATAGGATACATGTATGGGTAGTATCCGTGGGTACGCTTAAACAAATATCTCAGAAAAGCTTTCTGCCCTTTGTCTATTAAAAGTACATACGAGCTTTCATGGGGGTTCCACACACTCATGGAACTTTCTAGTTTGCTACGCACAAACGTACTAAAATAAGTTTAATAACGTGTAAATTATGGAAAGCTTTAGAGTTTAAAACCCAATCTACAATATGACTCTTTTGCTAAAACTGTCAGATGGTGGTGGTCGTGGTAAGTTAAATTTCAATCAAAATTAACACCTGGATCTTTTGAGTAATGACACCTCTCCACACAGCTATTAGGTATTTTTAGTTTGTTTCCACATCCTCATTGGAAGAACGGCATATGGCTTCGCTTCATGTTTCTAATATTGATACTACATTATTCCTCATGAACATATGTTATACAGTATTTTCAAAATAGTTAGGTTCCGTATGAAAACTTAGAAAATGTGTGAAAAAATACGCGTAAATGAGTAAAAAGCGCGTACCCTGTGGAAGTCATTGGCAATAGAGCAGTGATCTACTAAAGTTTTATAGAGGACATCAATATCTACAAAATAGTCCGAAAAGTGAGGAAAAAGGTCATGGTGAGTCAAACTTAAAAGATGGACATATGCTGTCGCGGACTTCTTTTATATCACTTTTAAAGGGGTACAATTCCGTTTTACATGTTTTTTTTGTAAATTTAACCTTTTACCGAGTACACGCAACGGAAGTTTACAAATGGATTATTTTTATCTACGGTTTACAAAATATTACGGTATTTTAACATTTTTGTAAAATTTTTCAAAGATTATCCGGTCCTATATGAAATCTTTCCTCTTTATAATATTAGTATAGACTACAGCTCTACACCGAAGCGAAGCGAGGGCGGGCCACTAGTATAGTTAGATCCAAAACCAGTCGGTGCCCGCGACTTCGTCTGCATAGTTCTATAGATTTACCATACACATTTCGACCCCCCTTTGGATCCCCTTAAAGGATGAGTTTTGGGATAATAACTGTCTTTTCCTGAGGCTAAAAGTATTTAATACTTATATCGGCTCGACCGATTGTCGTGAAATTTTTTAAGTATATTCATTAAGTCTGAGAATCGGACAACATCTTTTTTCATCCCCCTAAATATTAAGGGTGGCCAACACATTTTTTTTGACATTTTTGTTTTATTTTTTTATGATACATCCTATAAAAATACATACAACCCTAAATTCCTTCTACCACCAATATATTTATGACGATATGAAGTTCACTGGCTCAGCTAGTATCTATATAACATTTCATTTAAATCGGTTTAGCGGTTTATGCGTGAAGTGAGACAGACTGACACACACTTTCGTATTTATAATATTAGCATGGAAGTATGAATTTGACGTCTACAGAATCTGCTATAATTATTGTTGTAGATATAAAAGCTGCACCAGAAAAAAAAAATGAAAATGCCTCAGGAACCAGACACTGTACCGGGATAAGAAGTATCCTTATAAGCTGTCTGTGTGTAAAATTTCCAATCCACTTCCGTTCAGCCATTTTTGCCTGATTGAGTAAAAAGAAAACAAAATATAGAAACTTGAACATTTATTATAATACTAGCGGCCGCCCCTGACGTCCGCTTTAACTTCGTACCCGTACCCAAAGAATAAAAACAAAAAATAAAACCGACTTCAAAATCGAAAATAGAACTAAAAAGTTAAAAATCATATCTGGTTCATGTTTTGGAAGTCGAGCGGGTCAAGATTGAAAGACGTATTATTACCGCTCAGAAACGAAAATATATTTAATATTTCAATCTTGACCCCGCCCGACTTCCAAATCATGAACCAGATATTATTTTTTACTTTTTAGTTCCATTTTCGATTTTGAAGTCGGTTTTTTTTTGTTTTTTTTTCCAAGTAAACAATATCACAATTGACGAAGAAATCGGTGAACATGCATAAAAAAATATTGTGCGTGCCTTTGAAATATGAAGGATTCCCTCGATTTCCCCGGATTCCACCATCAGATCCTGACTTGACCTCAGAAATCCACTCTTTTGAATAAAAAAAATGGAAATCAGTCCACAATTGCAGGAGATATCGGTGAACATACGTTTAAAAAAACTATACAGTCGAACATAGAACTTCCTCCTTTTTTGAAGTCGGTTATAAACAGGACCCTATTACTAAGACTGCTTCGTTCGTCGGTCTTTCCGTCTGTTTGTCTGTCAGTCACCAGGCTGTATTTCATGAACCGCGATAGCTAGTCTGTTGAAAGGACATTGTTAAAATTGGCCTAAGAACCAACACCAATTTGGCATTTATGATAATTCTTAGTATATTTTTTGCGGTAATTATCTGTATTAAACTCGTTACTCTGTGGTTGTGGTGCAGGCAGTTTGCATTCGTAGTAATCTGTGGCATTCGTGAATTCCAAAGAGTAGTATAATTATAATATATCGGAAAGTGCATTCTTGTTTCGGATTACCTGTTGTGTGTGTTTATTTGCGATTGTTTTTCCTTTAATATAACTATCGATCTATAATATCTATCTAATATGCCATCGATGTTACCAAAAAGCAGAGCCCTTATTACCAAGTGCTAGTGAACCTGTGCCACAACATCCTGAGAGGATCATACTGCCAAATTATTCAAGAACACCTGATACACATTCACGCTGCATATTTACACAATATACATGGGATATACAAATAAAGACAATACACAATATGATACAATTATGTGAAAAAAAGTCAATAAATTAGAAGCAAAACTACAGTTTTTATTTTATTCATGATTCCTACCTAACCAAGTTTTTCCTAATAGTTATTCTTTAAAATCGCACCGAATAAAATGAATTAGTTGGAATATTAATTCACTTAATAATGATTTCATACTAAGTTTATAGGTTGACTTATGTTTCATTGAATATTAAACATAACCTCAAAAAAAAATTAGTTTTCCTAATAATTTAAGTTTTCAGAAGTGTCCGTCAATAATCTTTGTTTTTACAGTCATCTATTTACGATTTCGAACCTAGAAAATAATATTTCATGATTGTTGGTTCTTAGGCTAACTATGTATGGACGCTGAACAATGTCCTTTTCACAGATGTGTTATACCGCTATATCAACAAATATTAAAAATAATTATTTAAGGGGGTGCCATTTAACCAACGTGCTTTTTGCCGTTTTTTCCTCTATATTAATAACGGCAACAGGTAGGCACTTAAAATTATCACAGAATTTTTAGTTAATTTATTCACTTTATTTAAAAATAATTATAAAATTAAAATAAAATAAAGATTTAAGGCGGGCTCCCATTCAACAGACGTGACGTTTTTTCCGTTTTTGGAATGGAACCCTTCGTGCGCGAGTCCGACTCGCACTTGGCCCGTCTTTTCGAAAATCTCTCAGAACCTAAATTTTTTCGGGCATAAAAAGTATAATTGTCTCATATCATGATATCCAATCCTGTTTAATTTATTTTGCGTGATTGAGTAATAAACATGCAAATACACGAACATACAAACACACAAACTTTCACGTTTATAATATTAGTAGGAAGTTAGTTTATAATAATAAGATATCACGTTGCCATCCAGTCTGCATCACGCCGCAAAGGCGACGCAATATTGACAGATTCTATATGCGGCATGCCATATATTTTACACATAATGCTTTGAATATGATCTAGGCATGATGTTTCATAGACGTTAAACAGCCTGCTGAATGTTGATAATGAAATAGATTTTTTCTATTTAGTGCATTGTCACCAGATAGCCCACGCCAAAATATGAAGAAAGAAAGAAAGAAAAAGTATTTATTGGCCACCACGCAAATACATATGTAGAAAAAAAACAATGAGGAAAAAAATGCAATAAAATTAAACAATACAGAGAAATACAAAAGAGAAAGAAGAATGGCCAATCAGGACCCTGCCTCAGCTTAATGCTGCTATCGTGGGAACGAATATTCCCACCATAACAACGCTGGTATTCTGGTAGGGCCTGTACAAGGATGCCAGAGGGATGAAATATTAAAATAATATAAAATTATCAAATGGTATATAAAACAGGAAGTTCAGTGCAAAAATATATAAATATTAAAATACTTAAACTATGTAACATTAATAATTAAATTATATTAGCATAATACGAGTATATTACTAAAGTTATAATGATAATTAGGCCGAATATGCTACTCTCCTCGCCCACCCTGCATGTAGCATGAGACACTGTCGTATGTTGTTGCCTCTGTGTGAATCAGCCTTAACGATTCTTGTATTACAAGTTTTAGAAATAAGTATTACAAAATACCATCATAAAGAAACTCTTCGTGGAGCAAGTACTACGGCTACGGCGTACATTAGGATGACTGATTTGTCAATTCTTCGAACCATTTTAATACAAGATGTATAAGTTAACATTGTGGCGTTATTTCAGAATGAATGCCACTGCTATACTTAAAATAGCTGTATAATATATTTAGCATTGATTGAGTTTAACTTGATGCTCGGAAACTATGATGTGATGGTTGCTAACCCGTATCTTAATAGTTTTTGAAATTTTCCAGCCTGTTGCATGCCCTATCTTTGCATTGATCGATTTTCGGCTTTCTTTCACTTCCCATATACTAGGTAGGTACTTAGTCCTTGTGCTTGAAATTTTACTGATACAATTGATCGGAATATGTCATCAAGCCAGTCCCCGCTATTCGGGGGCGCTTAATGTCTCTCGCCCGAGGCGTTATTTGTTCAATATATAATGTCTTGAATGAACTTGATCAAAATCATACTCACGGTACTATCTGTACGAAAAGCATCTAGTAAAAATGGCGTTTAAGGTAATTAAGATCTGGAAATAATTTCTAAAAATACACCACTTTTGAACATTTGCAGTTTGTTAGGATTGAAAGGTGTTGTTTTAACCTTTTTTTTTAATTTTTTTACAGTTTGTGGTCCTTGCTTGTTTTGCGGCTGCCGTCAGCGCCGGAGTAGTCCCTGCTGCGCCGCTGAGCTACGCGGCAGCACCCGTCGCCTACTCCAGCCCTGTGGCTTATTCTAGCCCTGTGGCTTATTCTAGCCCTGTGGCTTATTCTAGCCCTGTGGCATATGCCGCGCCAGTCGCGAAGATCGCCAAAGTTGCCGTTGAGGAGTATAATCCACACCCACAGTACAGCTTCGCATACGATGTGCAGGACGGTCTAACGGGTGACTCCAAGAGCCAGCACGAATCTCGCGACGGTGACGTTGTTCAGGGCTCGTACTCCGTGGTCGACCCTGATGGCACAAAGCGCACTGTGGACTACACTGCTGACCCACACAACGGATTCAACGCTGTCGTGCGCAAGGAAGCCCTAGGTGTCAAGGTCGCCGCTCCCGTGGCGTACGCCGCGCCCGTCGCTAAAATCGCAGCTCCCGTCGCCTACGCCGCCCCTGTAGCCAAGATCGCCGCTCCCGTCGCCTATGCCGCCCCCGTCGCCAAGGTTGCCTATTCTAACCCTATCGCGTACGCCGCCTCCCCTGTCGCCTATTCTCAACCCATCTACCACCACTAAGACCAGACTGACTTATTTTGTTAATATGAACCATGTTACGGCCTAGTAAGCAATGTTATTTATGTTTATTACTTTTAAGGATTCGCAAATAAACGATATGAAATCGTATTTTCTATTAATCACTTTTTTCTGAAATTGTAAACCAGAAGCATTTTCTTTAAGTAATTTATTTTGCAATATTTTCGATTTCAAAAATATAAACCTCCAATGGATATCGAAATTACTTAAAATTTAAGAAAAAAAATGCGTAAAGTATTTGTATGTTTACCGATTTAAATGAAATTTACTTGCACTACTTGAGACGTGGTAATTTTTATCCCAGAAAAATTTAAGGTTCCTCTAGGCCTCACAAAAACTAACTATAACGCCGACGAGGCCGCGGGTGGAAGCTAGTTAATTTATAAAAATTTGAAGTAATAATGAAATATCGCTGTTGTCAACTTTTTTAAGAATTTACTCCTCTGGGTGATGACCGTACCTACCGTAAATCAATTTATTAATTTATGAACATAATTCTCTTAGGAGTAAGGCGAGAATTCAATTATAGAAATATAATATAGCACTAGCAGCCGCCCGCGATTTCGTCCCCGTTAACTTAAGTTTCTTTAAGGATGCCACAGGAACCTGACATTGTTCTGGATTAAAAGTATTCTATGTCTCAATCCAGGTCTTAAACTGCAAACCAAATTGCATCAAATCCATTCTATAGTTTTGAGCGTGATTGATTAACAAACACGCATACATAAAAACCATCACGTTTATAATATTAGTGGGATAAAAGATCGATAAACCTGTGGGGTAACGACACTAACGACATATGTTTGCTCTACTTATGTTTAAAAAATATGTCATTCCCGTCTACTACATGGTCCGCGTGGTTTTTTTTTACTATAGGGTTTTTTCTTTAGATTTAAACATCTAGCAGCTAATTGCTTAAAAAAAAATATAAATAAGTCATTAATTAATTCTTACAATGCTCATGCTACTTATGAACATCAAACGCAATATTTCAATCATGAGTTTTGGTTTTGCTTATCCCTAGATAATATTACCTACCTATACATTACCTAAAACACATTACCTATAATGTGAAGAGCATAATGACAGATTGTTCTAATTAAAATCTAAATTAACAGGGAAGCAGAGCAAGCAAACGAAACGGCAGCAAAATGGCACAAATAATATTTTTTTAAGAAAAGATTAGAAGATGTGTAAGTATATCGCTCATAACTACAACTCTAGGGCAAACACTGATGAAACAAAATCGATATAAATAAAAAATTTGCTAAGCGTAGAACTCGAGAACGGCTGAACCAATTCGTCATTTTTTTTCATATTATTTTCCTTGAGGCACACGGAAGGTTTTTATGGAGAGAAAGGCATAAAATTGTATAGGAAATAATGGAAACACACTGTTCTAGCTCATACAAACCAGCTGTTAAACATTTGATGCTATAGATATAGTTTGAAGGGAAGTAGAAGTTTGTATGGGGAACCAAGTAAACCACGCAAATAAAGTCGCGAGCGCGCGGTAGTAATAAATATAAGCACAACTCCAGCACAAGTACCTAAATGAATGCTTAAAATTGTGATTGAAGAAATTAGCGTAATTAGCGAGAGTGTGCCTTGCATGTTCCTCTTTTTTGCCTTTTTCCCCCGAAATTTCGTCACTGTCGCTTATGCCAGTTAGTGTCCATGTAAGTTTAAGACAATATATTATGATTAAATTACATAAGTGAATAGTAATATTTTGTTTAAAATTTCATAACAGTTGGCTTAAAGTCAAGAACGCGTTCGAATTTTCCGCCATTGACAAATTGCAGCTCATTTCCAATTGCGTTCACATCCATAGAGATGCGCAGACACAATACTAAACGCAAACTTGGATGGGTGTCACAATGCGCACCAACTATATATACGTCGGTTGACTCTTTCAGGAACAGACACACACTTGACTTCAATCAACATCAACCCTCAGGAACAAAAATGGCATTCAAGGTATTTTTCAAAGAAAAATTCTGTTAATATCGCATTTTAAAAAAATAACATGTTTTTTTCCAATTGCCTTTAAATTCCAATTGTAAAAGCCGCAAAATACGATATTAAAGAAAATATCGGAAAAAGAATTTGTCTCTATTAACTGTGAATACCTATAGAGTCAAAGCATTTGTTGAAAAATATTTATATACAGTTCAAAATTCCTTTTAACAAAACTAATATTTCTGAAAACCTGTTCTCTATATGCTACATAAATTATATACTTACTTACTTTTACTATAACCCGATAATTCACAAATTTAAAATCAATGGGTCAGGAAAATAACAGCTAAAAACTTTCCAATTAGTCGGAAATATTCGTTAGATAATCGTTCATAAGATAATCGTTAAGTAATTTGGTCGGAGTCTAAATTATTAATCAGCAATCATCAGATCATTTTTAAATAAAGTTAACTACTATGAAGCTTGAAAAGCTCCTTTACTTATTAACTAGCTGACTAGATTTTTTATTTTTTTTATATTACCTTTTTCCTTTCTGAAAATCAACAAATTAATAAACAAAATGTTTAAAAAAATCTACTTTGAAAATGTGTACATAGTTACAAAACACTTATAAACGATTTATTAACATATCTATCAAAAAGTATAAAAATGATTTAATAATATTAGTAATTTAATTAATGAAATGTTTTAAAAATAATAAAAAATATTTATCAATAAAAATAAACATCAATTTCGGTTCAGTCGTTCGGAAGTTATGCACTGCACACATTTCGGACATTCACTTTTGTTTAAATAGAACATATTTACTTACTTAGGAGACAATAAATAATTTCGAGTTAAAATATAATTCCTATGATAAACTGTTTTGACAATTTGTTTAATTAAAACTCATTTCATGTTTATAAATAAAATATGTTTCATTTTGATGTGTATGTGATCTTAAACTTATAAAGCGTGATTGTATTTCTATCTACTATCCACTAATCGATTTATTTAAAACGTTTTCTGCAATTATCTATTTTCAATCGATCTTATATATTTCTAATTCTCTCTTAGACTTAATTTAGATGCGGGAAGCGTCACTCGGATGTCCTTGACGCACCGCATCCTCGGCTTGTTTGTAATTTCTCCGCGCATGGGCTTGCGCAACCGTACTAGTCTCGCCCTCGCAAAACCGTGTCACTATTTCAAGTACAACTGTCGTGACGTTTATGGACGACATTCATGTTTTATTATCATTATCAAAACTACTTAAGTTTCAACTAATGTTATGATTTCGATACACATGTTTTATTTGTTGTCAGTAATTGGAACCAGTTTCAATGATGGCTTTTGCAAAATGTTCGTTGTGTTTAGATTTTTGAATTTATTTGGTTCAATTAACATCAAAGTACTTTACAGTAATAACGAACAAATAATAATTACCGATATTTTCTTTTAAATAGCTTAAAGAAAAAAAAATATCAAAATTTGCATTTAGTCAAAGATGGAAGACAAATGCTGTCATGTTTAATTTCTCAAATAACGGCATGGGCCATCGTGAGCGTGACTCGGTAATTCGACTTGTCATTAGATACCAAAGCTGCAAATAAAATTAAAACAGTAAATATTTATTTTCAGGTAATCATCTTCGCCGGCCTAGTAGCAGCTGTGAGCGCGGGAGCAGCACTTGCACCCGTAGCTGCACCTGTAGCTGCGGCGCCAGTGGTATCTGCAAGGCTTGAGGAATTCGATCCCCTACCGCAATACCGCTTCGGATACGATGTCGCTGATTCTCTCACCGGAGACTATAAAAGTCAGACGGAGCAACGTGACGGAGATCTAGTTCAGGGCTCGTATTCTCTCGTGGATCCTGATGGTACACGTCGTACCGTTGACTATTCTGCTGACTCGGTGAACGGGTTCAACGCTGTGGTGCGCAAGGAGCCTTTAGTGGCTGCCGCGCCGGTAGTCGCTGCCGCTCCGGCTGTGGTGCCAGCTCGTATTGCCGCCGCTCCAGTTGCTGCAGCCCCAGTAGTGGCAGCCGCTCCAGCTGTTTTGCCAGCCCGTGTTGCCGCTGCCCCGGTAGTAGCCGCACGATACACCGCTGCAGTGCCGGCGGCGTACTCCGCCTACGCTGCGTACCCCGCCCCGTTAGCTTATACCGCTTACTCTGCCGCTTATGCAGCAGCCCCCTTCGCTGCAGTGAAAGCTTTCCCAGCGGCCGCACCAGTTGTAGCCGTGAAATGAATGAATCTATAAAAACCAAAGGATCGACTTAAGTGATAATGGCCAATAAATGATTATTTTTTTACTCGATATGGTAGTTTTAATATTTATTTATATTAAACATTAAAATATATTAAAAAAAAAAACAATATACGAGTACATTAAGAAGCATTGTTTAATCATTCGTATTGAGGCGGTTTTAAGTAGAAAGATCCGGCAGCTAAGTTATTTTTTACCCGAATGCGCAATACAAGAGCTCGAAGCGCAACGCGCAGGCAGGGTATAGTGTTTAACAGTCTATATATGTATGTTTGTTCTTTTGTGGCACACTAGAGACCAAACGCGTGGACCGATTTTGATGATTCACACATCATTCGATTCGTCTTAATCAAGGGAGTGCTACTAAAGATATGATAATAATCAAAAATCAATAAGGAGACAACTGGGCGTCATATTGTAAGAAAAAAAAATAAGTTGCCGAAATATGTCGAGTGGGGTATCATTGTCTAGATAATCGGTTTTATTTAGGTTTCTTACACCATTTTTCATTTTATATGATTGTTTAGGATCTACAACGATTTAAAGTTGTATATTAACCACTTGCGCTTTTAATTTCAATCTTACGTTTGTATGGATCTTGGTAACTCTTTTACTCAAAAATACTAAATGGGTTTTAATCAAACTAACCAATAATAAAGTTCATACATAATAATAGCATGTAGATTTTAATTTATGTTGTTATTTGGTGAATTGGCCAAAATATAACAATAAGTGTCATGTGACACGGAAAAAATCTCCCACCTGCGAGCCATTTTGGCCTGCACTGCAAAAACAATAAAAGTTACATGAATATAATGTATGGTGGAATTGTATCTCTTATATAGTTCTACAAAAAAGTCCGGGACAGCATATATCTATTTTTAATGTGTAAGCTATTATAGCTAAAATAGTGATTTAAAAATAAAATATTATTTGAAATAAATTTCCAAAATGCATATTTTGTATAAACAAATTATTTTTTATCAAAACATACACTTTTATCGCTTTTGATATTTGATTTTTTATGACAAAGTGATAGCGCGTTGTGCTATGCAGGAGTACGAGTACGCTGCGGGAATGGTGGGAAAAACCTAGGAGGACAAGACAAAAACATGAGCTACTCACACTATTACAATAAAAGTGTGATAAAGTTCATTCTTATTAAATGATGAAAATTAGGTTTTCATAAAAGGTATTTATAATTTTTGAAATTAAATGAAAAACTGAGAATGAAACGGTTTTCAAAGTTTATTTTAACGATATAACTTCATATTATACTGCAAAATTCGAAGCAAATAATATAAAGTTTTATAGGTAAATGGTCCCTCCCATCACCCTATAAATATTTCGATAATGTAGCTTAGAACCAAGGCCCCATCTATTTCTATAGGGAATTTCATCATAATCGATTTAGCTATTAGGGCGCGGAAGCGTAATAAACTCACTTTCGCATTTATAATATTGTATTATACTAGTGATCCGCTCCGACATTGCATGGGCGAAATTTATTTTAACGGGATAGAATATAGCCTATGTCACTCGAATATAATGTAGTAGTAGAGCCAACCCTCGGGCTGGCTGAGCGGGTGGGCGAGAGGAGGAGCGGAGGAGTCCCACATAACCTCGCCGCACTCTCAAGGCGGTGGGGTATGCGTAACGCATTTTTCTGACGGAAAAAAAGGGTTGCATACAGCCACTGCCAATTTTAGATAGTCGACGAATAAAAGTAAATGATTTTTTTATTTCCTACTAAAAAGAACATAAGCAAAAGATGAATTTTTGAATAAATACGGAAAATAAGCACTATTTAATTAAATAATTTACATAGATTAGATATACGGATAAGGAATTGATTTAATTTTACACATTTTTGTGAAAATTGAGGCCCATAAGGCCTTGACCCTGATGGTAAGGTGTCGTTTAGACCACCGCAAGGTACAAGGTACTAATAATCAGCTTGATATTAACTCCCTTATTGAAGTGACAAGACTGCAGTATATACCGTCCTAACTAAAAAGTGTAAAATAAAAAAGGTAAATTTAAAAAATCTAAAAACCCGACTGCTTAATACTTCAAATAAAAACTGAAAAGAAAAAAAAACAAGTCCAGTAGTCTAAGTAAGGAACAAAGCTACTTTAACAGTCGGGACACATTATTGAAAAAAAATGATCTTTGAATATCCAATGGGTCCCGACACTTAAAGTAGCTTTGTTCCTTACTTAACAGAATTATAGACTACTGGACTTGTTTTTTTTTCTTTTCAGTTTTTATTTGAAGTATTAAGCAGTCGGGTTTTTTGATTTTTTAAATTTACCTTTTTTTAAACAAGCGAAAATCGAGAGTTCTATTAACCAATTTTAAATAATATTTAATTCTGTTTTAACCCTGGAATGGCTCTGGGTGGTTTTCACACCCCGCGGTGGTAGATATATTAATACTCGCAGATATTTGTTAATTCCTTTCAAAAATCCATCACAACTTCACAACATAATTAATTCTATAGTCACAAGTCACAACATAACATTAATCTTTAAGAAAAGAATTTATGATTAAATTTATATTACCTATGGTGTTAAGTCTCTTAATTTGACAAGTACTCCAGTCATGGATGTTTAATATGTATTTCTATATAAATATACGTATCAGTATATGTATTCTAACCGTTACCCTATCATCCACAAGCTTACAGTGCTTACTTTTGGGCTAGACTAATTGGAAGTGAGTGTTGGAAATATTCATTTATTTATTTGTTTTTTTTTTCCTTTCACTTAAGTAGGATAATACGGATACATATAGTAAAATTTGCTCTTTCTTTATCTCTTTATTGAGACACACACCTCGATTGAGTTAATTAATGAAAAAATATTTTAAAGGAGTAAATAACTTTAATTCCATTTTCAAGCTACTGGAATTTAATAGGTGTCATACTAGATCTTGTAAAGCATATTTTTTATAAACCCTATACAAAGACTTTATGAGTAAAGTTAATCATATTTGGGATAGTTGTTAGGAATTGATGACAATAATAAACACACATTCGATGACATTGCGACAAATCGCATAGAAATAAAAATATCAAAAAATAAACATATGGAACAAAGATCCATTATTTTAAAAACCTAAGAAACACAGATTTCTTCTCTATGCATGCTCTATGCTTAACCCACTAAAATGACAGAATTGTAAAAAATAAAAAAGTTAATTTGAAAATAAATCAATAACATTTTTTGATGAAAAGCCCTTTGTAAAGTGTTTACACAATAAGTTATTTGGTAGATTTATAGCGCTTTTTCATAACTATTAAAAATGCAGATGCAAATGGAGGAAAAGCAGCTGTACGGTGCATTGACCGTGTACCGAGAAAGGGGTGCGTACTTACGACGGTTGGAACAGTTTGAAAAGGCCAAAGCCTCATACGACGAAGCTTTCAAAAGCACACCAGATGATGTCCGTACCCTCACAGGCCGCAGTCAAGTTTGTGCTGATGCTGTCCAGCCCGTACAGGCCTACGCTGATGCTGAAGTGGCACTTAAGCTAGCACCTGGAAATATGATTGCGAGGAATATGCAAGCTCGTGCCATGTACACTATGTCTGATTTCGAAAGATCGGTTGTCATGAATTTCCGAGGACTCCGAGTCCGTCGCCAACCACCTTACTTCATGGAAGGTATTAACCAAGGTGTAGAAACAATTCAAGATTGCATCGGTGTTAATGCGGGAAACGTTATGTTAGACTTTTTACCCATAATTAAACAAAATGAAGAGTTATCAAGGAATATCGATGAACATGAACCACAGAAACCTCTGCACAAGTGCCGAATCCCACAACCGGAACGAAAACGTAAGTTAACTCAAATGGAAGCGCGGAAACATTTGACGCTCTCTAGAGTACTTGCAATGAAATACCTCGGCCCGATGGCTTATGATAAGTTTTTTCTGCAGGAACTCACAGAGGACCGGCGAATTATGTCAGCAAATAGTGGTGGCAGTTTAGAATTAAGAGCCATTGTGAAAGAAGCTCTTCGTTCTCTCACGGAAAGGCAAGAAATGTTGCGGTCGCAACGTCCATATTACACTATTAAATTAGCAGAAAAAGCAGACTCAAAATACCAGAATAAGTACAAAGAAGCAGTTCTCATTAAGGAACGAGAAATTGGAGCTCGTACTGCTGAACGTCTGCTGCGACAGATTGAAAGAAGTATGAGACAGAATCGTGTTATGGATTTGATTGCACAAGCGGAGCGTATGCAGCTTTTCTTAGACATGAAGACGCCGAGGACATTACCAGATAAAGAATATTACATAGATAGATTGTACAGAGCCGTTGGTGAAGGTTATTTATCACAACATAGATTATCTTACACGCTCAGCGAACGCGGTAACAGACGTAGAATCGCTTTCTTGATGGGCCTCCCGGTAGGAAGGCCGACATCATTCGATTCTGTAATGGCAACTTATCCTTACAAGTTTATCGACATCAAACAAGCTACGGAGAAAGTCGCTGCAACCCTCGAAATGTGCGAAAATTCTACAATGAAATGTTGGCTTATGTATGAGTTGGCTCGCTTATTGTGTACTCAGAAAAATTATGCTCTTGCAAAGTTCTATGCTAAGCGTTGTCAGAAAGAAGCTCAGGACCTAGGAAACGTGGTGTGGTGGCTGAACGGCTGTTTTGTACTCATGAGTGGAGATATGCAACAGGGCAACGCTAACGAGGTGCGCATACAAGTAGAAGAGGCGTACGAGTGGTCTAAGAAATTGCAGGACCCCGAGAGGGTACAAGCTTTCTTGTGCAAATGTTCGGAAATGGCGCAGGAGACGGTAACTGCTGATGAACGTAAAGCGATCGTGCAACGGGAAAGACAAATAGTAGCAGTGATGGATGAAGCTCAGAGTGTGGAGACGTCGGTGCTATTTAAGCGCATGTCGACAGTGCCGACTGGACGACGGTTTTCGGTACTGCCTCGTAAGGCCGAAGCCGCTGAGACTCTCTCAGAGAGGCGACGTCGCAAACAGCGCGGTCTTACTGTCATTCCTGGGAAGGAACGAGCATTACCACCACCACCCAAGTCAAACACTCTTGGTTTCCAGGTATTTGATATTTGAGTCATTAAATAGATGTGTACAATTTTCAAATTATTACATTACTGAATCCGTTTTAAATATTTTGTTTGAATGTAATATGGCCTTGCTACTTGCAATATTTAAACTGTGTTATGAGAGGTAGACTGGATTCTACCTCTCATTACACAGTTCAACTTTCAGAAGCAGGTGTTCGTTGGAGCACCTGCTTCGGAAAGTAAACTACCTTACCGACGACCACAGTTCCTAGTACGTAAGGTTCCAGTGTTTCATCCATCTCCATTTAGTAGGGTGGGGATTTGATTATGGCCCACTGACGGGGCTAGCTGTGGGTAAAAAGTTTTGTTTAATAGTTTGACGGAATCGGAGGATAGTGACATGACATGATTGGTGTGTGGGTAGGTTACTTTTTTTATTAGATAGAGCGATATTGAAATGGATAGGGGAGGGCACTGGGCCCAGTCCGCACTAGTACGAATCCACACTGGGTACAATCTGCACTTGGCCCATGTGTATTATAGTAGGTAAGATACTTTTTTAGAATAGGGAGATTGCCATGACTCAAATATTTAGGTATTCAAATATTTTAACTTCGTTCCAACCGAGTGTTCCACGAAACTCACACAGTTTTTATTATAAAAAAAAACATGTAGTGTTTACAAATAATTTATTTACATTATGGCATCCAAGTTTGCTTTTATTAATTTATTCTTAATTTAATGACTTAGTGGTGGTAAATGGGTGAAGAGTAGGCGACAGGGGCGGAGTGGACAACGGGAGCAGCGGCGTAAGCCACCGGCGCGGCGAACTTAGCCACGGGGGCGGAGTAGGCGACGGGAGCGGAGTAGGCGACGGGAGCGGAGTAGGCGACGGGGGCGGAGTAGGCAACCTTGGCAACAGGGGCGGAGTAGGCGACCTTGGCGACAGGGGCGGCGTATGCGACGGGAGCGGCGACCTTCACAGCGAGAGGTTCCCTGTGCACCACAGCGTTGAAACCGTTGTGGGGATCAGCGGTGTACTCAACAGTGCGCTTAGTACCGTCAGGTTCAACCACGGAGTAAGAGCCCTTGACAACATCACCGTCGCGGGTCTCGTGCTGGCTCTTGGAGTCGCCAGTGTGGCCGTCCTGCACGTCGTACGCGAAGGTGTATTGTGGGTGGGAGTCGTACGCCTCTACAACTTTGGTGACGGGGGCGGCGACATACGCCACGGGAGCGGCGTATTTAGCCACAGGCGCGGCGTAGGCGACCGGAGACGAGTAGGCGACGGGGGCTGCAGGCAGGAGGCCGGCGCTAGCGGCAGCGACCAGGCAACTGAATACGACAAACTAGAAGGCAAGACATAATAAATTAATTTTTTTTTTCTTAGAATCACTTGATAATCACAATGACATTAATACAGTTTGTCAATAAAATTTTATAGCTGATGAGTTGTAAAATTTGATTCTATTCAATAGTACTTTTCGTCACAGTTAAGAGCTATCACTAAGATACAAAGGTTTATAAATATTATTATGGTAAAAATCTAATCAGAAACTTCGAAGACACTTTGCACTTTCACGCTTTTTTCAATTAATTAAATTCACAATTACATTGAGCTTGTACCTTGAATGCCATTTTAGGTAGTGGTAATGTCCAACAGTGAGAATGAACTGCAAAATCGAGAGCAAACTTTCCTTTTATATTTGGCGCGGAGTCCATTCGTGAGTATCAGCTTTGGGTGACGTCACAAGATTTGGGCCGATAATCGAACCCGTATGAGGAGCTTATTGTAACTTTCGCTTTTAATTGAGGCAAGTAATGCAAGGTCGCGATCTTTCGAAGAATTCGGCCCACTTGTTTCCTCGCATTCGCACATTACCTTACAAATTGTGATAAAGTCGTCTTAACCTCAAACTTACATTACGTAGGGTTTACTTTACATTGAAACTTGATTGACCTTAGGTTTTGAGGAAATCAATAAAAAGTTTTTGCACAACCTATTTCTATGGGCCGGTTGATTTGTAAATTAAATAGGTCACTAAGGTCATTTATACCTACTATCCTAATGACATTATAAATATGGAAGTTTGTATGTTTGTCACTCAATTTATATAATAATTTATATAACAGTTTATATAAATCTTTATATATATAATTCTTCTGTGAGTGTGTATGTCACTGAACTTCTCTTAAACGACTGGACCGATTTTGATGATTTTTTTTGTGTGTGTTCAAGGGGATCTGAGAATGGTTTAGATTCACAATTTTGTCCGCTGGACAATGTTTTTTTAATTAATTTTTTTTATGGCGGTACGAAGTTCGCTGGGTCAGCTAGTATAATATAAAATTCTAGATAAAATAAACTTATATAATTATGTATCAGTATATGTATTCTATCGGTTACCCCAGCATTTCATAAAACAAGCCTTACAATATCAATTACGCAAAAACCGCTGAACGGATTTTGATAAAATTTGGCACACACATAGTTAGAAATATCTTGTCATCCAGGAAAAGTTTTCATTATTATACTCTTTATTGCACAAAAAAATGTATGATGCAAAACATAAATATGTGAGCAAAGGAGGGCTTATCTCTAAGAGAGATCTTTCATTGGGATTTTTAAAAAAAATATTGCCGGTAGTTCAACCGGACGAGGCGGTAGTAACACGGTTAAATGAATTTTCCGTCTTACTACTGGTAGCAAGACTTGGTAGAACCATGGGTAATAAAGAAATATAACATGGTCAAAGACACGGGCTAATTTAATATAAAAAAAATCAACTTATCCATGTAACAATCCTCGGATTCATTAATTCAATTCAAATACAACATGAATTCCTTTTTTAGCATGAACGTTGGGATCAATTTCCAGAATTCCTTTCTTATGCTCACTTACGTCGTTAAAGAAACCTTTACTTGACCAAAATTCCATACTTCTAGGCTCAGCAGCTTCGGCTGTGCGATGATCGATCAGTCAGTCAGTCGCCTTTTGCATTTATACGACGTGCAACAAATTACCCCACCCCACCCGATGTTAAATGTAAATATAGACTACAGGCCCGTGGCAAAAATTGCCGTACAGAATCAAATGACCAAATTTAGCCTGGAAATCTTCGGAAAATCAAAAGTTTTCACGACTTTGTGGTGCACTATTTTTGTACGGCACTACGTGTTTTATTATTATTTTTCATGGATCTATCGATGGTAAGAATGCCGTACAAAAATATATGACCAAATGTAATTCCTCTATCTATACGTTTGAATTCTCACCTGCACTCAGTTGGACAGTTTACCAGTGACGGCATAGTGCTGAATCTTATTATTTAATGTGCTTCTGTCTTTCTAAATAGGTCTTTTAGTGGTTCAAATGACCCATAAATTTTTGCTTCGGGCCTGCAGTCTAGTAGAGTTCAGTTGCAAATATAGATGATGCGGCAGAAGTGTGCCGCTCCAGACATCCTCACCTTGCCTTCCTTTTATATAAAACGAGCTTTCTATCCACGGCTTCGGCTACGCTGACGTTTTAAACGCTTAGGGGATGAATAAAAAAAAAGTAAACATTTATTGATAAACGTAATAAACAACTTTACTGTGTATTTCTATCTTCACAGTTCCATACTAAGTTTCATTTCATATTTAAATTTCCTTAGAAGATGATCTAAAGAAATCATCAAAGACTCCCTTATCTGAGTTCACGCACGTCAGTTAATATACCGTTTTTTATTATTTTTTAGTAGTACGGGTAATTGAACTTCGTCGTCCTCCGTGGCCGAGTGGTTTGTACGCCGGGTTTCATGGTGTCGCCGATTGAGAGTGAGAGAGGGTTCGAATCCCGGTGGGGGCAGAAGTTTGTGTGATGAATACGAGCATTTGTACTCCAGTCATAGATGTTCAATATGTATTTCTATATAAATATATTTATATATGTACAGTATATGTATTCTATCCATTACCCTAGTATTAAGTAAGCCTTACAGTGCTTACTTTGGGGCTAGGCCAATAGGAGTTTTAAAAAAAACTAGAGGCAATTTTTCTTAACCAATTGTACAGTTGACAGGACAGCGGACAGGCGATTTTTTTATATCCCATAGTACAGTCGAGTGGACCACCGTACCACTGTTAAGTTATTATTTCGTAGTAGTACAGTTAACCGGACTAAGGTAAGGCCCACTTGCACCCGAATTTACAAAAATCTCGATTTACCTTAAACTTGATTTAGGCCATATAAGAATGTCAAACAGATATTGACGTTTAGATGTTTTTGTATGTGTTATGTCTAGTATTACTTATTTGATATTTACCAAATTTGGTGCATGAGGGCCTTTTGTTATGTAACCGTTTCTTTTAGTTTTTCGGATCCTTGACACAGAGACAAGATAAAATCGTAATTTCAAGTATTTCTATGTTTTATCCCGAGGCTTAGAAGCTTTTTTTGGCTCGGCAATTTTATATTTTTATTCTCCTTGTTGTCCTTTTCTGCATAACAAATTGCAAATATAAGCGAATAACATTCATTAGAATAGGTAATTTCTGAAAAAAAAAGTTTTAAAAATATCACGAATAAAAAGTGATGTGACATTTGTTATTTGTCTTAAAAAATATGTGCATTTTTAACATTACTTAAAATAATCGGTGGTACAATTAAAATATATTTATTCCGTGGTTCAGTTACCAGGACATACGCAAATGGATTTATTCCATGTTACAGTGCATGAGCACCAAGATATGATATTATAACACGTTTTTATCACGCTCAATTGTCAAATTACTATGGCCTTTGACAGTCAGGCGCGATAAAAAACGTGTTATAATGTAAATTGCAGTGCTCATGCTACGGGTACTGGATGGTTTTTATTTTACCATAGTCCAGTTAACTGGACTATTGTAAAAAAAAACTAAGTCCACTCGACCGGAGTATCCCAGCTACAGGCAATGCACTAAAAAACATGCTTCAAGATTCAGCATTTGTAGCTATGCGTTGATAGATCATCTGCCGTCTTTTTGGCTTATAAATATTATACATTATTTAGACTCGACACTAAATAATCAAGCTCATTACATAAATAAATGCCCACCCCTAAAGCCTAGCGCTGCCAGTGCACTAACTATAGCGTTAATTGTCAAGCTTCTTCATGTCAGAAGTTATTGTGGAACTTTTTTATGCCCATATACCGGACAGGAGTGTAAGAAAAACCGTAGAATGCGCCAGCCATCTACTTTACTCTGTAGATAGTACAATTCAGTTGTGTCCTATTTTATATACGTCTATGTAATTGATATGTAATAATGAAAAAAACGAGCGAGCCTTACAGTAGTCGCGTATGAAGTGTAACATTTGAAACCTCACCTTATATGACTAAAAAAGAAATAAAACCTACTACAAAAGGAATAAGCCATTTGAACATTATGTTCTAAAATCAAATCAAATAGCGTGCGTCCCATTTCACGAAATCACTCCCACAAATTGCAGGAAAGCGAGAGGAAAGATGTTACACGACTAAAAGTCATAATTTCAGGATTCCGATTAAACAAAAACCTAGTTTCTTTCACTGTGGCCGTCTGAAATGGTATTTCCTGGACAATTATATGAATAATTCTACGGTAGCCGTAATACGTAAAAATATACAAGATTTATATTGAACAAATTTAAAGAAAACTATGACAGCCAAGTAGTTTATATAGGTATCAAATTTAAACGGAAACGTTTCTTTTGCATGCAACTGTAAATAGGCTTCAGGCTACATTTATTTTTTTGTTAACATTAACATGTTAACGTACCCACCCTGTTAAATGGTAAATAACGAATTTGAATTTAGGAGCAAAAAAAACTTACGAGCTATAGCTCATAGACAAGTAAAAAATTATTGACCTAAGTACATTAAGTTGTTAGCTGTGTAAAATAACTAACAAAATTTGTGAACCATTTAAAAAATATACAGAATGAATGCTATTCAAATGAAATGCTACATAAAAGTTCACTATTTGCACTTCGTGCATGGTAGGTAAGTACTGAATCATACATTGCGCGTGTTTTAATATTCGTACATGGAAATTGTATAAATATTACCTAACAATATGTACCTTGTTCAATAATTGTATTATCAACAAACATAATTAAAACAAAGGTATTGGTCTTCAGTTCATTTAATTTAAATAACAGGCACTAAAAATATCCATAATATAAAAAAGAACACAACAACATTGCAATAAATTCATCTAAAAGTAGTAAGGATTAGGTAGTCTGTATGGTGCGGGAGCTGGAGCTAGATAAGGCGCGGGTGCGGGAGCGAAAACAGGTGCAGGGGCAGGGGCAAAAAGGGGCGCGGGCGCTGGGGCAAAAACTGGGGCACGGGGGATGACAGGGGCAGCCAGAGGCGCCGGAACAATTGGAGCTGGAGCCACTACTTTAGCTACGAGCGGCTCCCGGCGCACAACAGCGTTGAACCCATTGATCGGATCAGCAGCGTAATCCACAATCCTCCTCGTGCCGTCGGGGTCAACGACTGTGTAAGAGCCAGTAACCAAGTCCCCGTTGCGGTGCTCTTGGTGGCCCTTGTAGTCGCCAGTGAGGGAGTCCTGGACATCGTACCCATAGGAGTATTGGGGCAGAGGGTCTACGCGTATCGCGGGCGCTACCGGCACCACACTTGGGCTGGCACTCGCCGCGCACAACGCGCTGATGAATACTACAAACTGCAACAAGGAAAATGTAACTTATATCATGACGTGTTTTAGTTTTTAATTTGAAGCTAACACAACAGTGTTCCTTGTACATAATTAAATTTCTTTTTTTACAACGCATGCAAAACAATGGACGCTTGAAACACATTTTCTTTTAGCAACATTATTCAATAATTTAAATATTTTATGAATTACGATGGCAGGATTTAATTAAACACAATTGACAGTAAATAAACATCTAACGAGAAAACTACAAATCAGATTGATTTGATACACAAAGAAAAAGTCGCAAAGCAAAACAATCTCCACGTGTATGAAGAACACATTTTTCTAAAAGCAATTTAGACAACGTGATTAATTTATTTTCATTGAATAATAGCTAATACATAGTGATGCAATGATAATGCATATCGCTCGAATCATCAAAGTTCGAGAAAGATAAGCGCGCCGCCATGTGTTGTGCAATAGTTGCCCCTGCGCGTATAAAGAGTCGCATAATCGCATTACATACGATAGTAAGTATACCGATGACCACTTAGAACGGTCCTAGCGACTACAAATTGCTTGCTTGCGACCTCTTTCATATAAACGGTCTAATAATATTCTATAGTTAGATAACTTAATAATTGTACCTATATTTAGGTCCATTTGTCAAAACTTTACACTATGTATCAAACAACGCGACCTTAGTATAGAAATTACAAAGAAATCGAGGAAAATAAGTAATTAATAATAACAAAAAATATCGTGCAGATAGTAAAAGTATGTAATTAAAATTATAATGAGACAGTTTTAATTTATACTTCGTAACTCGTTGATATCTTTTCTATGGAACTAACAAAATATAACTATTTCGTAAGTTCAAACCGAATCTCTTTAATTTTGGAACATGAGAATGGAAAAAAGACAATATCATATTCCATTACTTAAGAAGAAATAAATATATTTTTATGTATGAAAAGTAATTCTCCAATACCTGCCTAATTTATTAAAACTTTAAAAGCATGAATGTTTTTTCTCCGGAAATTGCTTGTGTGATTAAAGTTGTTATCTAGAAGACCTTATATTACTATAATAGTAACCTAAATAAAATAACAATGATGTAAACATACAATCTGAAGTTTTTATTCACAATAATATTGTTTGACTTTATAAAATCTTTTTTAAGCGTGAATTTATTAGCATACAATTTTTATAGGTAATAATACTTTTACAGGATTCCCACTGAAATTAAATGAATTTTCATAATGCAGCGCGCATTTTTATGAGTGAGTCAGAACAAACGTCGAACGCGCGAGTTGGTTAGAAAGAAGAAGTGTCGCAAACCCTCGATATGGATCGCATTGCCTAATGGGCACATGTCACATGCAGGGCTTCCATAAATACAATTCAAATTAACGCTTCGAAAATGAAAGTGAAGAAAATGCTAAGAAATTAAAGTTAGCTCTTTGATTTTATTCGATGTAGATAATTTAGGGTGAGATTTGGTAATAATTATTTTCTAAATAATTGTTAAACTACTACTGTCACTATTATTTTCAATAAAAAATTTAAACGCAACCAATATAACATCAGAGAAATGAGGTTATATTACTATTTTATGTTATTGCACTTCAATGCTAAGCCACGTATATGTTATTTATAGGTTATTTTTTATTTTAGATAATATTATTCTGCGTCTATATCGAGTAATCTACGAATAACAAAAAGCTGCGTCATATACATGAAAAGAAATCAAGAAATTATTAATTTGTGTTTTACCAAAATCGTGTACACTATTTGTGATAAATGTGAATATTATAAAATCTGCATGCAATTAAATTTAAATAACATAAATTATAAGTACACATAAAACTTGACATCCCTACAGCTATCTTGACGTTTGCTCCTGCATTGAATCAATTATTGGCCGCCATAACTCGGGCGGGCACGATTGCGCCGCGACAATGCCACACGAATTTTAACTTGGTCCGAGCCTCTTTAATATGATTATCACGGCTGTAAACTTACCTACACTTGATCCACTTCTTGCACATCAGCTAACTGAGCTTGTTTTTGACATTATGCAATGATGTTTTATGATAGACGATGTTTTTCAAAAATAAGTCAAATTAACATTTTTTACACAAGATATTAGGAATACGTAGGTAGTGAGTAAAATAATTATTACTTACTTAGATTATTGACACAAGATCTTTAAAAGCCCACTTGATAAATGTTAAGGATAAAGTTTGTTTTACTTTTCAAGTTTTTATTTCTAATACTTTAAAGTTTTTTACAGGAAGAATAATAAATGGCATTGCTTAACTCAATTTGCACAGTTATTATTTGATATTTTTCTATTATTCGCTCAAAAAATTGATAAATGAAAATTAACAATGAAGTACTATTTATGATGTTTTTGTATTTTTTCAAAGATGTAAAACCGTAACTTAAGTGTGTGTTTAAGAATTCGCTAGTTATCGTAATGGACTATAGATATTTATAAAGCTATTCACATTAAGCTTTAATATACCACAAAAGAATCTACAAATAGATGTAATTTATTTATTTCTAAGTAAATATTGTTAATGCTTTTCAAGTCCAGATATACCCAGCTTTCTTTTATAGGAAACTACTTCAATTTTTTTTAAACAAAAAAAGACATGTATTTTCCTTATTGCCTGTTATTACTTATTTTAATCTATTTTATAATCGCTACACTTACCTTGGTGTTCATGTCTGCTTGTGTGGGGTGGTTTGCAGAGTCCTCGAGGTCGAGTGTGGGTGTCCCAGGCCGCCACCGCGTTATATACTTCGAACGATGCGCAACTCGGGACGTGAGGTCCATACCGCACCACGCATTGAAGAAAGTGCGTTACGCGATGCTACTCTTGCAATATGCGTTGTGATACACATTTTTTCATCCAGATTGATTAATTGGAGACCAGTGTAGACTTACATACTAAGTTCAAAGATAGCATCGATAACGCAATTTCTTGAGCTTTGAATGAAGTTCTAGTGTCAAGCTATGTGCCAAGTTCTCGTCCTTAATGGTAATTTATTTATTTTGTAAACACACAATAAAATATTAGAAAAAAGAGAAACAAGAGACATGTACAAGGGCACTGCTTATAATAAAATTTCTTCCAGCAGGCCCGCGAAAGGAAAGAACATAGAAAAAGGCAGTCAGTGTGTGCTCCTGAATAAATATAACATAATACATATGCAATACATACATAAACATACAATACATATATATATATATACAATATTAACAAATATATTAATATAAAATAAATAAAAACTAACTAGGAGAAGCAATAAAGTTTTAGATATTCAAGTAGAAAGGTAGTGTTCCTTCAATCGTTTTTTAAAGGTAGAAATAGTCTGGGCGTCTCTGATTTCTGCTGGCAACGAATTCCATAAGCGGATGGCATGTACTGTAAAAGAGTAGGCTGCAAAGTCAGTTTTGTGAGTAGGACATTTGAGAAGAGATTTTAGGTGGGACCGGCAAGGAACATTAGGGTGATTCCTGGGACCCATGATTTTAACGGTCACATTGAAATATTAACTGGAGTAATAGACCAACTTGAATAAAGTACCACTCCAAACTTTACCTAACTACTGTAGTGCTGAGGCCCATTGATAAAAAATAATATTTAATTAAAGAAATTGGTGAAAATATCCATTTGAAACTGAAAAACGCGGTAATTTCATTAGATTTTTACGTGTCACACGCGCGACTCTTGCTATGTTATAGTGAATATTTTTTTTTACGCTCAAGGTTATACATGAATATATACTTTTTTAAATACATAAAGAGTTATTCTATTAGATCATGAATAAACTGTTCTAAAATAATCAAAGTCTAGTATACCTTTATTCGTTCAAATACATGTCACGCGGCGGGCATAGTTTCAATCTCGCGGCGAAACTATGACAATTTATTTAGTGAAATATGCGGTAATCGTCTTGCGATTGGTCCAAAAGATCGCTTGTTGACCGGCAGTGTTCGGACGTGAAGGAAGTATCCGTAGATTTTGCGCCAAAAATTTTAGATAAGTTCTTTAAGTTCTGCAAGAGTTTGTCCAACGGGGTAGGTATAACTCGTGGCTCGTTTTGCTGTTAAATTGAGAATAGTTTCACTTAACTGGTCTTTAATTAATAATACGTTTATCCCTGTGTAGGCGCTGAAGTACCAATAAATACGATTTTATTTATAGTTTTACAGTAATACCTTCATATGTGAATTATCGTCAGATTCGTGGTCGTAAGATCCCTGGATTTAAGCCATGGATCTGATTTATCGACCATGGATCTGACCACATAATATTATAGCTTCACTGTCTCCGTGGTGTAACGGTTAGAGCGTTGGACTCCCAACCTGAAGGTCGTGGGTTCGAATCCCGCGCGGACCAACATAATATCTCTTGCGTAGCTGGTTAATCTCGTTGAGATTAGCCGCTGTGGTAGAAATCGACCAGGAGGCCTATTTTTTACAGCTTCAATCATTTTCTTTCAATTTTAATTGCCGTGGGTACCTACCCTGTAAAGACTGATGTTTAAACGTAAGAATTTAGCAAATACCAAAGTAGTTTATTTATTGATTTTTTGATATTTTATATGCAATGGATGTAAAAAAAAAACTTCTGTTAACTTCTACTATAATGATGTTTTATTTATAATTTTCTTTATTGCAGCATTCTAATAGGCGATTCTAACGCGACGCCATTACTTGATTTATATACTTCGTCAGATCCGTGATGCCCTTGGTCAGATCCGTGGCGAGCCAAAACATTTTCTTTTTTTTTTCAAGAATCTATAAGGTCTACGTGTGTGCCTCATCTACAGAATGACTTGTTTTTCAGCCCTCATTAGCCATATAATTTTAGTTTTTTCTAATAACGCAATAAAATAAAAGCCACGGATCTGATGCGAAGAACGTTAGTCCCAGGAATCACCCATTAGGCGAGTGGGTAAAAGAAAACCGCTCTCGAAGATAGGAAGGATATAAAGGATTGTAAAAGATGTTGAAAAGGAGACAAAGGATTCTGACATTCCTGGGAGTCACTTGAGTTCCTTTCGAAAGTTGGAGACGTGATCGTACTTACGAAGACCAAAGAGAATGGGAAGATTCTGCAGGCGCTCAAGTTTGTTAAGCAAAATCTCCGTAGCGTCTAAATAGCAAGCATCAGCATAATTTTATAAAAAATAAATCTTTAATACTAAAATATTTATGCACAAACGTATTTATAGGTCTTTTGTATATAAAAGTAATACAAATATACATCGCATATTCCTTACTGATAATTAAAGTATGTTACTTAATAGACGTAATGTAATACGAATAACTTATGAAAACAGTCAAGCTTAAGTTGACGACCTCCGTGGCCGGGGGTTTGCAAGCCAAGTTTCATGGTATTGCCGACTCGAGAGGTCCGGGTTCGAATTATTTCTACATAAATATACTTATATATGTACTGTATATGTATTCTGTCCGTTAACCTAGTATCCCATAACACAAGCCTCACAGTGCTTATTTTGGGGTTAGGCTAATTGGTGCGAGTGTTGGAAATATTTATTATTATTTATTTATTAAGCTATTTGCACGTACAAGGGCTTTATCGGATTAAAGAAAACAAGAACAAATATAAGTACAACGCCCTATCGGCTTCAACTGATTCCATTTCAGCATATTTTCAACAAGCGTCAAAAAGCTTTCTGTTTTAAGGCTCAACTCATGGTTGCGTAATGTTTTCGCTATAGAAAATTTATATCTATTTTCTCACTATTAGGACTTTCTCATTATTAGGACATTCTCACTAACTTAAGATCAGGTTTCTTGTTTATCGCCTGTAGCAAATCTTGAGGGATGTCATTCCCCCCTGTTGGTCACGGGTACGCGCGACCGCGTGGCGGCGCCACAAGCGCACAAGTGTGTATGACTACCATAATGTAAACAGGTAAATCCTGTTTACATTATGGTAGTCATACACACTACGAGAAATCGTTACGATTAGACTGTACCGTCCGAACGGTACCGATAAATCGTAGCGTGTATGTTATAAAACTGCTCAGTTTCCTATACGTACGCCACGTACGATAAACTGTTCCGTTCGAACTGTACAGTCTGATCGTAACGATTTCTCGTAGTGTGTATGGCTACCATTACGCTCCCGCCACTACGTTAGCATTTGTGAACAAAAAGCGCTATGAGTTAGCATTTAGCTCGACGCACGCGCCGGCATCGGTCGCGTGTACTAGCCAGCCCGTTAAGAGCGGATGCGAGCTGAGAGACATTTAAAAAAAAGGGATTTGAAAATACTAATGCTGTCGCGCGACAGCATTAGTATTTTCAAATCCCTTTTTTTGGCAAATATCGTGCGATAGGGATAACAGTAGCTAACGCTGGAGTTTGCGTATAAAATTGCTTAATTCGAGTTTTGGCCCTCGACGATTTTCTTCTCCAAAATTAGATATATGTAAAAGATACTTTACCCATTGTATAATTAGCACTAAAAACTTAAATGGAGATGGGCAGGACAAATTGCACGTATGAATAATATAAATGGACTTATAAAGTGACTACTTGGAAAGGACTTCAACATAAAAGAAACAGAGGTAGACCAAAACAAAGATGGATAGATGAAAATAACGTCGTGCTGATAGAGACTGGATCACCAAGGCCTAAGATAGTAAATCTTGGAGTAAAATGGAGGAGGCCTTTACTCGCTGAGGGGTCCTTAATAAATAGAAAAATGTGTATTGTCAATTATTTTAAATCGTAATTGACATGTTTGTAATCAAATTAATTAATTGACCTCATTTTTAAATTGTACTGAATGAATGACATGTATATTTATTAAGGAATTAAAAGGCTATCATAATAATAATAATTAGTAGTTACACTAGGCCTCTATGTTTTGGTTTTTTTGTAAATGCTTATTTAATCTCCACACTAGACGTCTTTAGTGGTGGTAATTTTTTATTTTATTTTTGGCATTTTTGAGGGCTTCTGATTGCTTTGAAACACAAGTTATTGAAAAAGGGAAGACAGGAGCATAGAAGGAGTAAAATTATATTTTATGTATGTAAATCATTTCTGTAGTGATAAAAATGAAGGAGGAATCAGTCGAGAAGGTTTGTATGGAAACAACACTGTCCGCCTCCCCTATTAAGGTACTCCCATGGCGAAACACATGACGCACCGCGACGCTTCGGCTAAGAAGAAACTATTATTGGTATAAAATTCCTATTAAGTGGCGACACGCGAGAGCGGCTCTTAAGTGGCGAGATTTGATGGCAAATATGTAACTACAAGGTGGAGTAGGATAGATTGCAGCCAGTAAAAAAATAGGTTTGATCCCAAAGATCCAACATTTCATGAATCAGCACAGCCGAGCGTTAAAATAGTATATATGTTCGATATATACTGCCGAACTGTAACTTAACTACTGTAATGTTATTGTTACTTAAAAGTATGTAGATGGTAAATCGTTTTACTTGAATTTTTCCAGTGAAAAAATTGCTACAAACAAACGAACTCGACCCAGTGTCAGGTCAAGCTGGATTCGAACCAATGCCTTTCAATATGCGAGCTCAAAAGTAGTAATGCATTTTTACTTCTTTTTCGGCCTGGGAAAGCATAGGTACATTTTAAATAGATACTTATATATTAAATTTTCTGACTCTCCGAATAAAATACAATAGGGATGATGACTAAATTTTTTTCTTCGTTTATCAGGTAGATTATCAAAAAGTATTGGACACGTATTATTTCTTTTTTCACATAATATAAACATTGCAGAGATATATTGATTTGGAAAGTCGCATGACGTCACATTTGAGTACACTTTTAAGTGAAAATTCACTCAAAAGTGACGTCACGAGCCCCTACTCCCAAACTTTGACGCGCTATAACTTTGTAATTTTTTGGTTTATTGCCCAAAGAAAAAAATACGTGTCCATTATTTTCTGATCATCTAATTGACGGACTTAATAGAATTTCGTTTACTGTACCCCGTCACCACCCCTATTGTAACTTTAGAGTTCACAAATTATTATTTAAAAAAAAAATATTACACACACGTCTAGCCACAGAGCACTGTAAAGCTTGTGTTACTATTGACCAATAATTTATATTAAGTGTATTATTTAATCCTATACCCTTAGATATAATAAGAGACAACGGGGAAAAATTGTATAAAACTGCATGTTACGTGTATCAAAATCTCAGTTTAATCCATAAAAAATAAAATGATCTTAGCTATATACATAATTTAAGTCTTTACAAAATGAGCCATCAAGTCGTTAGTCTTATTTTTAAGGGTATCTGTAACCGGCAGCAGCTGGTTGTTCTTGAATTTTGGCAGGAGCGGCGCGGGCAGCAGCAACCGTCGGGGCGGCCGCTAACCTGGCCGGGGCAGCCACTGGCGCGCCAACAGGCGCGCTATAAGTGGCAGCCACCGGCGCGCTGTAGGCAGCGGCGACAGGCGCGTTGTATGCGGCGGCCACTGGCGCGCTGTAAGCAGCGGCGACAGGCGCGTTGTATGCGGCGGCCACCGGTGCGCTGTAAGCAGCGGCGACAGGCGCGTTGTATGCGGCGGCAACGGGAGCGGCATACGCAGCCGCCACGGGGACGGTGTAAGCGGCGGCCGCCACTGGTGCGCTGTAAGCTGCCGCCACCGGAGCGGCGTAAGCGGTTGTGTATGCAGCCGTGTAAGCCGGAGCTACTGGAGCTGCTACTGGTGCACTGTACCGAGCGACAACCGGCGCAGCGGCGTAGCGAGCGGCAACCACGGGAGCGGGAGCCGCGTATCGGGCGAACACTGGGCCCGTAGACACAGCAGTGGCAACCGGAGCGGCCGCATAACGCGCTACCACTGGAGCGGCGGCATAACGTGCTACCACTGGAGCTGCAGGCACTGCAGCGGCGACTGGAGCGGCGGCATAACGCGCTACCAAGGGGGCCACGGGAGCTGCGGACACTGCAGCGGCGACGGGAGCGGCGGCATATCGTGCGGCAACGGGAGCGGCGGCGTATCGTGCAGCGACGACAGGAGCGGCGGGGGCAACGGCGTAGTTCGCGGCGTATACCGCAGGCTGGGTAAATTTTGCGGCCACTGCTACCGGCGCTGGGGCGGAGACGTAGCGGGCGGCAGCTACTACAGGCTCTGCAACCACCGCGGGTGCGGCAGCAACCAACGGCTCTTTGCGCACTACTGCATTGAAACCGTTGACGGGATCAGCGGCGTAATCTACTGTCCGGCGGGTACCATCGGGATCCACGAGCGAGTAGGAGCCTTGGACCACATCTCCATCACGCTGCTCTGTCTGACTCTTGTAGTCACCGGTGAGAGAGTCCGCTACGTCATATCCGAATCGGTACTGGGGCAAGGGGTCAAATTCTTCGAGTCTGGCGGCCACAACAGGCGCCGCGGCGGCAACGGGAGCAGTGTAAGCTACAGGCGCTGCTGCGTATGCTGCCGGGGCCACACTGCCATAAGCCGCTGCCAGGAGGCACGAGAAGACCACCAACTATAAACAAAATAGTTATCATTATTAATTACTTAATCCAATGCATCGCTATTAGGTAGCAAACTAAACGTGTAAAATATGTATTCCACTTTATCGACGAACTATTATAATAAGTCATTTATAAAACTTCTTTTTTTATTTAACACTTAAATGTAGCACTTTTTTAGACAAACACTTTTTAACACTTCACAATATCAATCCAGTGTACCTTGAAAGCCATTTTGTATTGTTTGTTGAGATGTGGACAGGGGTGCTTGGAGCTGTCAACTGTACCCCCTGTTAGTTACTTACAGCATTTATAGTAGTTGGAACAGTGCGCTTGCCTCATCCTGGCCGCATCTCCAAATTTAAATATATTCAAGTACGCACGTACCGGCCAGGACTGGACAATGCCGCAGACAAAGCGGCTACTTGTGCAACCGCGTGGGCCTATGAACGTCGCGGTCACGCCAATTTTCCGGTCCATCCTCAAAACAACTTGTTTCAGGAGACCTGGTATACGAACTTCATGGTTAACTGTTAGTAGATAATCCCTCAAACGAAGTCCTCTAAAGAAAGTTTACTAAAAACGTCAAACGTTCAAAATACACCGAAGTATTCATTCCCAGCACTATGTTGCCTCGAACTAAATTAAGTTAATAATGCTAATACGACAGCAATTTACGACATGACCAGCTGAATGTAAGTAATGCACATATAAGTATTATTGGACGTGTATGTTAAACACGTGTATGTACTGAAATCTAGTAAACTTTAGAATATTGCATCAGTATCAATTATTGCGAATCATTGGCACAATATCAAGAGTTTGTTTTGCCATTTAACTTGTATGTACTACAAATTGTATTTACCGCTACAATCTTTTGTTTTCTTCTTTTGGCCATAGACAACTATTTGTTATATTGAAAAACAAATTATTTGAATAACAAGAAATAACAATCGCAAATTATTATGTAGGATGGGTCAACTGGTTAACTGATCGTGATAAATAGGCTCATATCAAAATACTTTACACCCTACGAAACCTATGATTTGGATATATCCCAATCCATATTAAATTATAAAGAGAAAAGATTTGATTGTTTGTTTGTATTGAATAGGCTCCGTAACTACTGGACCGATTTGAAAAATTCTTATACATTTAGAATCCTAAATTATCCCTGATGAACATAAGCTATAGAATATTTTCAAAAAAGTTTGGGTTCCTTAAGGAAAATCGATAATGTAACCCAGGGTGTGAAAAAAATACCAAAAAATATCCTTATATCGCTTACGCTGCGGAAGTCATTGAGCAAAGTGATGTGCTAAAGTTTTATAGAGGACATAAATATCTACAAAAATGTCCGCGATATCATATATATATTGTCTGACTATTACAGTTATGTCACAACTAAAGGGGGAAAAGGAAAAAGGTTATAGTGAGTCAAACTTAAAAGAGCATATGCTGTCGCAGACGCACACTTTTTTATAGATCTTTTAAAGGGGAACAATTCCGTCGTACATAATTTTTGTGTAACTTTAATAATTTATGCAGCGTACACAACGAAATCTCCGAAATGGAATATTTTTAACCCTTTTTGCAACATTTTACATTGATACTTGGCTCCTACAGGTCGCAGCGTAATATAATATAGCCTTAAGCTTTCCTCAAAAAATGCACTATCTAACACAGAAAGATTTTTTTAAATCGGACCATTAGTTCTTGAGGTTTGCGCGTTCAACCAATAAAATTGTGCATTCAGTACAACGCGTCCTAAACTACGCAACAAAATTTTCACTCTTAGCTAAATAAATTTTCACGGAAGGTTTATAATTATACATAGAAATTCATTATGTATAATACAAGCCTGAGAACAAAAACTATAGTCTACACTACAGCTCTACACCAAAGCGAAGCGAGGGTGGGCCACTAGTCACACTAATATTATAAAGGCGAAAGTTTGTATGTTTGTTACTCAATCACGGGAAAACTACTGAATGGATTTCGATTAAATTTGGTATGCACATAGCTGTTTATGACCTGGATTGAGACATAGGATACTTTAATCCCGGAAAAATGACAGGTTTCTGTAGGATTTTCAAAAAGCTAAAGTTGTCGCGGACGTAGTCGGTGGCGGCCGCTAGTATCTTATAACTATTTATTTTACGTGTCTCAGGCACGGCTCTAATGTTTCAGAATTTTTGATGAAATTTGGTTAAAATAAAAGAGGAATACCCAGCCACCCAGATACTTATCACTCATATATCCAAATACACCATATAGGTACTATATACACCATATATATTTTGTTATAGTTAATTATACCATGTCACAAATGCTTACGATAAGTTATTCATACGATATTTTAAACCAGTTGACTAAATTTGCATGGCCGGACCCAGAAAATCCGTTATGACATTTAGAGCTTGCTTTTATCAGCTAGTTGCACTAACTTTTATGCTTTATTGATTTAAAATAACCTACTCAAAATGTCTTTAATACTTTTATTTATAATTTTTATTTTGCAGACTCTCTTGCAAAAGTTTCGAAAAAGGACTATACAAGTATTTCACAGCTAGATGCAACTTTAAAAAAGCAAGCGACCTTCACCAAAACCATAAACTCAAATGATCCGAATTTCTAAGTATGTTGTAATGTAACACAGTAATGGGCTTGTACATTAGACTCATCTGTTTCATACTGTTTTAAGAACTAATCTCCATGAAAATGGAACTTGAGACGGCTCGTTTCCAAGGACACAAGGTCGCAAGTTGACTACACAATACTTACACTTGTTATAAACCTACGCCAATAACAAATGCAACGATATTAATTTTTAATATCTGTATATCTATATTATTTATTACTATCAATATGATATTTAAAGGTTTCAAATAATTTTGAATATGTTTCAGTCTATCGGCCGTTCTTAGATACAGCAATTAACTTTAAAGTTTAAGTAAAATCGGCGCAGTCCTTGTCACTTTCTTTGCGATTATAGTAATAACAGTGACTTTTAATGACATTAAATTAATTTGATGTCTCTAAGTACGACCGTATTACATTCATTTTATTGATATGTAACATGTTTCCTCTCGCTTTCGTGCAATTTGTGGGAGTGATTTCGTGAAGTGGGACGGAAGTGTGTAACAGGAAGTTTGGGAAGCGCGAGCTATTTGATTTGATTTTAGAACATTATGTTCAAATGGCTTATTCCTCTCGTAGTAGGATTTTTTTCTTCTTTTACTAATATAAGGTGATGTTTCATATGTTACACATCATACGCGACTACTGTAAGGCTCGCTCGTTTTTTATTAATTGTCTTTGATAATCGTCGTAAATATGCTTTTTTGACTTCCATTTATTTTAATTCACGGTTTTTTTTTGATTAAATGTGTTCAGTTCTTGCCTAATATTAGGAGGGTAAGTTAAAATTGAACCACTAATTTTGGTCGGGTATCGTCGTTTGGTGATGGCTAGGCCACACTCCTTATTACGCGCTCGCACGCACTCCTTATTAACCAGCGTTTAAATGTGTTTTTATGGTTCCGTAGCCAAATCACAAAAAACGGAACCCTTATTAGATTCGTCATGTTTGTCTGTCTGTCCGTCCGTATGTCACAGCCACTTTTTCCCGAAACTATAAGTTTGTTCGAAAAAAAAAATAGTTGTCCTATACTTTTTCATAATCTTCCTGATGGACGAAAAAAAAAGTTAGTCGTCATCTCTATTTTGTTCATAGCAATCAATCGATCGTTTATTTGTATGAAAATATTATCATAAGAAACCTAATGTATGTATTTATAAAAGCTTTTAGCAGAATGTATAATGATATTTTTTTTCCGAATCTTATCTACCTTTTTAAGAGTAAGCGCAAAGTAAGCGGCATATATAACTTTATAAAATTTAATAAAAATCAGTGATACATCTGATTTTGTGGTCGCTTAACACATAATTTTATCCTGCCATGAATAACAAACACGCGGTACTCTCTTGAGATTTACCAAGATCTACGATAAACTGTTTCAGAACTTTTAAAGAACGCCTCAAAAGGAATGTAATCTTTTACTGACTGGTTGTTCATGTTGAATAGTTAATTTTTGAGGTGTGAATCGAATTGCTAATCGCTCTCTAGAATATGATATACTTATATGTTGATATTAAATAGATAAACAGTATAAAGTATAAGAAATACAGTATAAGTGAGTATTGAACAATAATAAACTTTTAAAGTTCGCGTTTAAAATTATTAATTTACGAGTTCTAAATACTTATATGTGTATCACTTGAAAATTCTATGAATATCAAATCATGATCAAGTTGTTTTATCACTTTGACATTGACACCTAAACGAATAAAACCATGTTTCGGTGTCAGCGGACCACACTCCATAGTTACGTACTAGGGCTGCATTAAACAGAAACACTTAATTTATAATATTACCGTAAATCTATAAATTACTTTGAAAATATAAATTACTATAAAACTTAGCTTGTTTTGAATATTTGAACAGTACCTAGTGTATGTATTTAAAGTTACCTACAGTCTTAAAATATAAAAAAAAATAAGGTCACATAATAAGAATTAAGATCCTAAGTTCTGTATCTGTCAGTAATTCAGATAACTTAACAAAATTTATATAGAACATAACACAATAGCACTGGGAAGTAAGTATGTAGTAACTATGGAGGTTTGATTAATTGAGTAAAATCTTAAGTGCTAGCGAGTCTTAAAGATGTTCATAGGTAAAAAATAAACCCTTAGAGGTAAAATTTTTTTTTCTCCTTTATAGCCTGCACGGTTTGTGCGTCAGCCACATACAAGTGTAAAGGTAGGGAAACAGGATAAAAAAGGAACGGAAATTTAGAAGGACAGGATCAGGTAAGTATTTACAGTTTAATATTGTGTTTCTGGATAAAATTAGAAATACATAAATAAATATCATACTTCATACAATAAAGCAAAGTATTTACAGAAGTCGGGAGGGGAATACGAAGGGATGTTAAGGAGTCAATAAAAGAGGAACAGTCATATAAGGAGCACGCGAAAAAAATATGGTTTAAATCACCAACATCAGCGCCACAATTACACATACTGCTATTGACTATTCCTAATCTAGCCAGATGAGAAGGAGTGCAAACATGACCCAATCTCATCCGAGTTACAATAGACGTCGTTTTCTTGCCAAATTTAAAATTATAAAACCAAGGCTTTGTAGGAATGAAAGTTTGAATTTGTGAGTAATGCTTTCCTTTGTTTTTACTAGAAACAGACCATATTTGTTCCCAGGATTCACGAAGATGCGAATTAGGAAGACCTAAAAGATCGTTAATGAAGTTTTTGTATGGAAAAATATCGCCACAATCTACAGCATCATTGGCAAGTTTATCCGCAATTTCATTTCTACAATCTATAATAACAGGATGATTGGTATATTTAAAAGGAAATTTTTGTAGTGCTTGAAGCGCACTTTTAGAGTCAGAAAATATAACAGATTTTTGCAATTTCATAAGATTAATATATTCTAAAGCTTTAAATAATCCGTAACATTCGCCAGTAAAAACAGAACTTTCAGGTGGTAATTTAATTTTTTGGACAATTTTTGATTGTTGATGATAAACTCCAACACCAACGTGGCCTGAGGAAGAGTTTTTAGATGCATCGCTATAAATGTAATGTCGATCTGGCCAGTCTCTATCTATGATTATATTAAAATCAGCATTTGCAGAATAAATGGATCGCGATATATCTAAAGTAAAATAAATTTTAGGAACAAGAGTTAAAGCGTCATAGTCTGCAGAAAAAATAGAGAGACGCTGGGAGATGTGAGTAAGGGAATGCAAAGAGGAAAATTTACGAAAACTTACGACTAAACAAGGTAGTGACTTAAGCCTCCAGTAAGAAGATGATGATACTATGAGTGAAAGAGTAGATAATTTGGAATGAAGGGGATGCTTAGCAAATTGCAAAGCACGGAACAGAAACTTGTCAGAAAGATATTGACGCCGGAGTCGTAGAGGAGGGTCCACACATTCAACTTGTAAAGCATTGATAGGGCTAGATTTCATTGCACCGGCTATTAAGCGAAGAGCTTTAGACTGTATCCCATCAAGCTTTTTAAGCCCAACAGCATTGCATGGCTCAAGAAAGTAACTTCCATAGTCTAAAATATTTCGTAAAAGAGCGTTGTAAAGAAGTTTCAAAGTATATGGGTGTCCACCCCACCAAACACCGGTTAAGCATTTCATGATATTTAAAACTCGTTCACATCGAGCTGTAACGTAATAGCAGTGAAATAAACCTGATAATTTTGCATCTAAAATAACTCCTAAGAATTTTATTTCGTTTTGTACCGGGATAGGTTTATTATCAAAACATACGGAAACAGAAGGGGGTTTACGCATTCTAGAAAATAACACTACGCAGCTTTTTGAAACGGAGAGATTAAGAGCGTTAGAGTCTAGCCAAATTTTAAGGTTGGACAGTGCTCTACTTAAAATATCACTTATTTCTAAAATAGATCGTCCCGAAACATATAAAACCAAATCGTCTGCATATTGTAATACCGATACACTGTTACAATCACTATTTGAAATTTTAATAGCTTTATCTAGGTCATATGTATAAATATTATATAAGATAGGGCATATAACACATCCCTGGGGTAAACCCTTCCATAAAGTTCTATATTTATAGTTTGAATCGCCCGTATCAATTGTAATCACTCTACCAGACAAGTAATTAATGATAAAATTAGTGATCAAAAAAGGAACCTTAAGTTTTAGGAGTTTTAGCTTTAATACGTGAAGATCAACGTTATCATAGGCAGCATTAATATCTAAGAAAGCTGCAAGTGTTGATTCATTGTTACTAAAGGATAATCTTATATCGGTAGTAAATATACCAAGACTATCCATAGTGCTTCGTCTCCTTCTAAAACCGTATTGATTCGGAGCAAGAAACTCATTAGATTCAATAAACCATTCTAATCGATTTTTTATTAGATGCTCGGTTAATTTAGCAAGAACGGATGAGAGGGCTATTGGTCTGTATGAATTCGCATCAGAAGGAGGCTTATTTGGTTTTAATATTGGAATTACTTCTTGTAATTTCCACGAAGTAGGAATATTACCAGAAATCATAATGGAATTAATTAATCTTAAAAAATAAAGAAGGCTAGATTCGCTTAAATGAGATAGAAAGGAATATGGTATACCGTCAGTTCCTGGGGCAGA